GGGCCCAGGGGCGCAGCTTGCTCATTACGAGCTTGTACGGCCGCCCCCATGGGTCGAGCTCCAAGGTGTTCAGGAGCTCTTCCCACGCCCTTTCCTTCGCCTCCGCGATCTTCATCCTCAGGGCCTTCTTTGCCTCCTGATAGAGGCAATAGAGGCGCCTTTCCTCTTCGGTGTTCCGCGAGGCACGCCGTCTCCTCCTGTACCTGGTGTACTGGCGTCGGGTCACCACACAAGTTGACCGAAGAGCGGCCAACTCCTCCGACCACCAGTACACCTGCCTACGCGGCGGAAGAGGTCGGGACCGAGCCATTGAAGCGTCACAGATACGCTCCAAGGCCGCCCCGAACCACTCCACCTCCTCCCTCACCGAAGAGGACTCCGGCTCTGGACACCAGGTGGCCACTATCGAGGCCACCTCCACCATCTCCCTGTCCAGGGACTTCAGGGCCCAACGAGGGCCCTTCTGCGCCGGAGGGGCGCCAGGCCCGATCGCCGTGGACTGAGAGGAGACACTGAACCGTATGTAACGGTGATCAGACAGCGTCTCCTCCCCGTCCAACACCTCCCAGTCGACGATGCGGCGCGCAAGCCCGGGGCTGGCAAAGGTAAGGTCCACTATGGACCCCCCCTGCATTCGGACGCACGTCTGCGTCGAGCCCCGGTTCACGAGCGCCAGGTTGTGCGCGGCCATCCACTCGACGAGGACGTCGCCACGAATATCTGAGGTTGGGGAACCCCAAACTGCCGACTTGGCATTGAAGTCCCCCGCCACTACCACCTCATTCGGGCGACCCCACGACACGAGGGCGTCTACTTCCGCCAGGAACTCCTCGAACTCCGACAGAGTCCTGTTGGGCGAGAAGTAGACCCCGACAACCACCACGTTGCCGCACTTCGCCGCGACACAACCCTGGCCTCTCCGTGAAGAGACAATTGGGGGAGAGCCACCGGCTCCGGTGACGACTATGGCACCGCAATGTTAATGGACCACTGTGCCAGGCCCTGGAATAGGAGATCCTGGGCCCTGGCGCAATGGTTCAGGTTCGCCTGAAGGAACCGTAGGGCCATACTAGGCCCCTACGGTCTCGGCAACCTCCATTGCGGTCCCGCTCGGAGGGACGGCGGCCCGCTTCTCCGGGACTCTCCGCCGCATCTTTTTGGTGGGGGCCGAGCACTTGGCACCACCCACCCGATGGGTTGCCTCCTTGCCGGCCGCTGCGCAAACCGCGCAATGCGGACTGGCCGTACAAGAGGCCGCCAAGTGCCCGGGCTGACCGCATCTGTAGCAGAGACCGCTACGATCGCTCGCGCAATCGCAACGGCTCGCCACATGGCCAGCCTCCAGGCATCGGTAGCAACGCAGTGCCCGGGGTTTCCCCAGAGTCACCCGCGCCGCCACCCATCCCACCAAAAATCGACCCTCCAGGAGCCGTTTCGCGGAGACCACAGGGACATGCGCCCAAACTGCGCCAAGTCCCGTGCGGTCCCGCCTCACGTCTCCGACCCTCACTTGCCAGAGAGGGCACTCGCCCTTTTTCACGATGGCATCGGCCACCTCCTCCTTCGAGACGGAGTCGTCAAGGCCCGAAATTCGGACGTCGACGGCCTTTTGTGGCCGCGACACCTTGACGGCCTCGCCGTCCAGGACCTCCCCGAGCTTTTTCGCGAGAGCGTCGGCCTTAGGGCCGCTCGCGGCTCCGGGGAGTTGGAGGATGGTGGCTCCGGTGGCCGCCTTCCTCACCCTGATGCCATCGAGGCCTGTGACCTCCTTGAGGTCCAGCCTCTCTCTGGCCTTCCTCAGGACCTCACTGTACGAAAGCCCCGCTTTCGTTGCGTCCTCGGTGATGGTCAAAACCACCGCCGAAGACCGAGGCGCCCTGAGTTTCGGCTTTTTCGCCGATTGGGGGCCGGACGACTTTACAGGCTTTTTGCCTGCACGCGGTCGTGCCTGCTTTTTTGGAGCCTGACCACCCGCCCTGGATTGGGCAGGCAGACTCCGGGGCTCCTTCTTCCGGGACGTGCGTCCCTTTCTGACCACCGTGACCCAGTTCCCCTCAAGGGAGTCCGGGTTCGGCGGCCTCGATGGTTCAGGGGGAGGTGCCACTGCCTCACCCCTAACCGGAGCCCTCTTCCTCTGCTTCTGCGGCCCCTTCTTCGCTGAAGGGGCGGCAGGTTTGGCGGCTGCTTTGTCAGCCGCCAATGGCGGCCGGAGTCGGGGAGCAGGGTTCAGTCGAGGCTCTAAGCCCTCGAACCTGGCGTTCACCCTGTCCCCAATCTTCCGCAGCAACCCTGCCTCGAACTCCTCCAAGCTAGTGGGGAGTTGGGAGGATCGCTGCAGATCCTCCACCCGCCGAGTCAGCTCCTCCATCCTTTCGCGGAGCTTTTGGTTCTCCGCTTGGAGGACCTTTGTCTCCTCAGAGACAGTCCTCTGGATGAGGAGAGCAGAGTTCTCCCGAATAGACGCGACCGCGTCATTGAGGGCGCGGACGAAGGTCCCCTTCAAACTCCCGGACTTCTTCGCCACGCTCTGGATCACACCCAGACTCTCGTCGATGCCCTTTATGGCATCGACGGCGGAACGAGGCATGGGGACACAAGTGCCCATTATGTCCCCCTCGTCCCATGCGAGCGACGCCACAGAGGAAGGCCGCGTAGATCGGGCCTCCGAGACAGAGGCCGCTAACTCAGCCTCCGCCTGGAGCCGGATCTCCTCCCTCTTGGCCTTGTTAAGGGCCTTTTTGGCGGCCGCCAACCCGACGTACTCGCCAGTGGTTGGCGGGCGGCCCCTGGGTCGCTTTTCAGCGGACCCTCTCTTCGCCACAGAGAGAGGGGTGTCTGTGGAAGACCCCTCTTCTGGCGATTTCTCCCCCTCTTTGGGTCGTTTCCGCTTCTGGCGCCAGAAGCGGCTCGACTCCAATTCACCGACCGGAGGGACTGAGCCAGCGGACGACACGCTGACCAAGTCCGAATCCGAGTCGGACAGATTTAACGAGGCCCTTGAGGACCTCGTACTGCGGCTAGCCCTAGCCAAGGCTGACGCCGACAATCTTGTCAACGCCACCCTCAGCGCTCGCCCTTCTACTTCTTCTCCTCTCTTCTCCTTCTCCTCTTCCTCCTTCCTATGACTAAATGTTTTGGTTTGTTTTGAATTATTCTCCTCTTCCATTCTTCTTTTCATGAAACAAAATGTTGCGCCTCGCTACAAAGCGCAACGGCATTTCTTTGGTTTTAAGGGAAATGCAAAGTCCACCCGGGCAGAGCCCTGTACCCGGGTAACCCTAATACAACTGGCGGTCGGGCGGTCGCCAGAGGTTGGCCGCTAGCTGGCCCGGTTACTGCCGGACCACCCACTCACCCTGCGGGCAAGCGGGGGCGCGGTGCCGCGCAGAGGTCCGAAGACGCCCCAACACCTCGCAAAATTCAGGGTTTTTTCTGAGGTTTTCCTTCCTCTTGGGCCGGCCGATTAAGGCAAGCCCCCTGGTCCCAGATGCGCCGCGAGACATGATCCACGACACGCACCCGGGGAAACAGGTTTGCCCGACGGAGGGCCGAAACCCCTAACCAGGCGCAGCACATCGCCACGCCCGGCCCGCCGCGCCGCGGTCCACCACCACCGCCGTCCGTGGTGACTCCACCACCATACTGCGCCATGAAGGCCACTGGTCTCAACAGACCCCAACAACCGTGCTCGGAGGCACGCTCGCAGCGCTCTGAGGTGAGCGCTGCGTCTCCGTGATCGGTCTCCGCGTCGTCTTCGGAGACCGACCGATGGATCCAATTAGCTTCGTCGTGCAATAGTGGCCAGAATCGGCAGACCCACAGACAGTCTGTTGCCGATTAGGCACCTGACCACTATAATAAGCACCGACTACTGAGCCCCCCCGCCGCGACAAGGCCTGGATCATGGGGGGGAACCTTTTTTTTTTTTTTTTTTTTTTTTTTTTTTTTGTACCGTCGGAAAATGCCTCCCTGGGTACGGCTCTGTGTTAAGCTGACACGTCTAACGACTGCTCAAGCGGCAGCCCATATGTGAAAGCGAGCTAGCCTGTCTCCTTGGCCTAAATGCTGCGCTAACACACCCCAGTGGACACGGACCAAAGGCCGTCGCCCGCCCGTGACCACCTTAAGGGGAGGGGTGCCGCGAGACTGCGGAAGACGATGCCGCCACACTTCGCCAGCGGAGAGACAGCCGAATGGCCGCAGTCCACTCCCGGAGTTTGTTAAGCATACCCCTCGCGGCGCGGTGCAATTGCGAGGGGTTATGTGGGTCTCTCCCACCTCTAAAGAGGTGGGCATACCGCACTAAAAACCGACTGCGCCGTCTTATCGCTTAAGGATGAGCCACGGTATCAGCAGAGCCTTAACCACGTGACCCACCCTGGCGAATGCCGCAGCCAAGCTGCAGCTCTCCTAAAGCGGCCGAAGCCGCTTCCGCGCCTCTCCTTTGCCACCTTGGAGGCAGCACGCTGACTTGGAGTCAGCCGTCCCACGTGCCCGAAGACACCACTGCCCAGCAGGGCAAAAACACCTAAAACGGGCGAAAACGCCCCCACCATTATGCCTCCTGTAGGGTTTTCTATCGAAAACCAATCAGGAGCTTTCACCTCGCGGTCTTGGAGACACGCCATCCACCGTGCCGAAGCACCACTGGGTCCGAAGACCCGACGACAAAAGGCGCTGAGCGCCCGAGCGATGAAACGCTCCCTTTCTGGCCGTTTAGGGTACGCCCGTGGAAACCCACCAGATTTGGTCCGCGCCGGCAGCCTAACTGCCGATAGTCGCCATTATCTGACGACATTTCCCCTATCCGCCACCTGGGGACGCGCCCGGTGGAAGTCTGGCAACTCCCCCCTGCAGGGCACTCCGACCCCACAGGGTGCCGGGGGGGGGAACTTTTTTTTTTTTTTTTTTTTACTTGGAGGAATCGAGTCTTTACCGACGCCCCCGCCGGGCCAAGTGCAATGGCGGGGGGAGTGTGGGGGTCAACCGCTAGTCGGCCACTACCCACTAAACCATCCAAGAGCCCGTCTGCCACTGCTCTGTTCGGTCAAGGGGCTGGTATCAGCTAAGCCTTTGCCCAGCCCCGAGCCGAGGGCAGATGTCGCACAGCTTGCGCGCGCGTATCGCCGTCTTGGCCTTCTTCTGCCTATGTTTCCATAGGAGCCCCTGTTGGAGGGGCCTTGGCCCCATTCGTGGGGTCCTTTTTGCGCGCCCTTTTGGGAGGCGCTTTACACTTAGCGCCACCCAACTTGTGCTTCGCGTCCTTGCCGGCTGCAGCGCATATTGCGCAATGTGGCTCGGCCGTGCAGGACGCGGCGACATGGTCGGGCTGGCTACATCGGTAGCACAGCCGACTACGGTCACATTCTGTGACACAGCGGCCCGCGATGTGTCCGCTCTCCAAACACTTGTAGCAGCGGAGTGCCCGGGGTTTCGCCACAGTCACCTTCGCCACCACCCATCCAACGAGGAACTTGCCTTCTGCAAGTTTCTTCGCGACTTCGATCGGAGCCCGTACCCAAACTGAGTACGAACCCCACCTGTCGTCCCTCTTCTGGCCAATCTTCACGTCGTTGAATTGGCATCCTCCTTTTTTGGCCACCGCATCTTGCAGTTCCAATTCGCCGACCGACTCATCGATTCCTGAGATCCTGATGTCTACAGTCTTCGCGGGCCGCGTCACTTTCATCTTTCCGCCGAACAAGTTCCCCAGCTTTTCAGCCAGGGCATCGGCTTTTGAGCCGCTGTTCGCCCCGGGGAGCTCCAGAACTGTGGCCCCCGTTGCCGCCTTGCGGACTCTGAGGGTCTCAAGACCCGTAATCTCCTTCAAGTCTATCTTTGACCTCGCGATGAGCAGGGCTTTCTGATAGGTCAGCATCGCTTTTTCCTTTCCCTCGTCCGTGAGGGTGAGTACTATTGCCGACGACCGGGGAGTCTTGAGTTTAGGCTTCGCCTTAGCCTTGGGACTCTTCTTGGCATTAGGTGCCTTTCCCGGTGCCGGTTGCGGATGCGACTTTTCCTTCTTCTTCTTCCTTTTGACCACCGAAGCCCAGGTTCCCTCCAGAGAGTCTGGGTTCGGCGGCCTTGGATCCTCCTTGTCCTTTGCCTTCTTGGCTTTTTTCTTCTGCTCAGGTAGAGATGCCACAACAGTCGCTACGGAAGTAGCAGGTGTCACCGTCTCCTTTTCCTTTCTTCTTCTGTCTGCCGCCAACGGGGGCCGAAGCAACGGCGCTGGGTTGAGCCGGGGCTCTAATCCCTCGATGCGGGCATTCATCTTGTCCCCCAGCTTTCGCAGGAGACTAGCCTCCAACTCCTCCATGTTTGGGGATCCAGAAGACTTCTGAAGGTTCTCCACCTTCCGGGTAAGCTCTTCTAGCTTCTCTCTTAGGCGCTGGTTCTCGGCGCTCAGGACCCTCGTCTCCTCGCAGACAGTTCTCTGTATAAGAACCATCGAGTTGTCCCTAATCGCCGAGACCGCATCATTCAGGGCGCGGACGAAGGTGCCCTTCAGGTTTCCGGACCCCTTTGCCACGCTCTCAATTACTCCGAGGCTGGCTTCAATGCCTCTCTTCGCGTCCAAAGCAGAACGGGGCATCGAGCCACTGAGGCCCGCAATATCTCCCTCGTCCCACTGCATCGACGACACGGACGATGCGCGCGTCAACCTCATCTCCGATGTGGAGGCCATGAGTTCCGCTTCCGCCTGGAGCTTCATCTCCTCCCTCTTTGCCTTTACCAAGGCCTGCTTCGCCGCTGCTAGACCGACGTACTCGCCGGTTGTCGGCGGGCGACCTCTTCCTCTCGGCCTGGACGGTTCTGGCGCCTCACTTCCACTCCCACTTGAAGCACCAGATCGACTTCGCTTCCGCGCCGACCACGGTCCGCGGTAGCTCCTCTTCCTTGTAGTGTCACCACTCGACACCGTGTCCATAGACTCAACGGACGAGTCCGAGAGCCCACCATACTCCTCCTCTATGGCCGCGTAGGTTTTAGCGGCGGCCGCTACGGATGAACTTGGTGAAGCGCAAAGACGCTCCAACACCACTTTCGCATCCGAAAATCTCCTCTCTCTTCTACCATGGGGGTTGCCGGCCTCCAGAGTACGATCCGGCTTAACCGCCGCCCCTTCACCATTGCTGGATCCAGAGCGACGGGTGGGATTTGACCCACCTGGAGTAGTTTTATACTGCGTAGAATCCTCCATGTTTTGTTTTTTGTTGGTGCCTTAGGGGCTGGACTCCCACCAGCCATTCATCCCCTCGCCAGGCACCACAGACTTAGGATTGGGGGTGCGCTGCCTATGTCAGCGCACCTCGCGGACAACTAGTCCGTCATCCTCCGTGCCGAAGCACCGCTCTCGGTTCACAACCGCCTAATAGCGGCAGAGAACCGATCTCCGCCTTACACTATATAAAATATTTACACACAAAAAATAAAATATATACAGGGGTGAGAAGCACCCTCTCCAAAAACACTATTTACAAAAATAAATAAATGTGCAAAAACTTACCATTCCTGCAAGCTCCTTCCTCCCTGCACGACCAGTCCCAGAGCAATGTCCAGGGGGTCGAGTCCCGCCGCAGGCCCAGGCTCCCGTCCCGTTACAGGCTCAGGCTCCCGTTCTGTAGCAGGCCATCCTCTTCGTCGGCTGTGCCGACTTGTGGGCGTTAAAGCCGACTTCTCGGTGCGACGACGGGGGGTAACAACCCCTAACCGGAGGCTATGAGCCATTTCCGGCCCGCCGCCGCTGTGTGCATGGCGCAGACGGGAGACGTGAAACGGTCCGACCCTGACGGCGTAGACGTATCATTTGCCATCGAGGGCCCGCCGCGCCATATCCTCGCACACCCGACCCAGGGCGAAAAGCGCCCCGGGCCCGCGCCATAGGACGCCCTTCCTCGCTTCACTGCGCATCGCGGTCTGAAGGACCGCGATAAACAAAACTTCGTCTTCCCCACCCACCACGAAAAACGCGGTTGGCAAGGAACGCCGAAGATGTAGCAAGCCATACAGAGCAATATACAATATTGCAGAGTATCGCCCGCCTCCCAGTTAGCGACCACCGAGTCTGCAGGATACGCACCGGTCATCACAAAGTTAACAAACTTTGCCATAGCCGATACCACCCTAACTCAGATGGCCGGGCCCCCCCGGCAACGACAAGCCCTGGGGCTGCACGAGATACTCAAAATGCAGTGGGGGGGGGCTCCAACCTAACCTAACCTTTTTTTTTTTTTTTTTTTTTACTTGGAGGAATCGAGTCTTTACCGACGCCCCCGCCGGGCCAAGTGCAATGGCGGGGGGAGTGTGGGGGTCAACCGCGAGTCGGCCACTACCCACTAAACCATCCAAGAGCCCATTCGTCACTGCACTGTTCGGACAAGGGGCTGGTATCAGCTAGGCCTTAAAACCCAGCCCCGTGCCGAGGGCAGCCGTCACGCAGCTTTCGCGCGTCTCGCCTTCTTGGCTCTCTCCTGCCTATGTTTCCATAGGGGCCCCTGTTGGAGGGGCCTTGGCCCCTTTCTTGGGGTCCATTCTCCGTGCCCTTTTGGGTGGAGCTCTGCACTTCGCACCGCCCAACTTGTGCTTCGCATCCTTTCCGGCTGCCGCGCATATAGCGCAATGTGGCTCAGCCGTGCACGACGCGGCGACATGATCCGGCTGGCTACATCGGTAGCACAGCCGACTTCGGTCACACTCTGTGACGCAGCGGCTCGCAACATGGCCGCTCTCCAGGCATTTGTAGCAGCGGAGGCCGCGGGGTTTACCCACCATCACTCGCGCCACCACCCATCCGACGAGGAACCTTCCTGTGGCCAGCTTCTTGGCCGCCTCGATAGGGACCCGAGCCCAGTATGAGAACAGGCCCGATCGTTCTTCCCTCTTCTTGCTGACCCGAACTTCATTCGGGCGGCACTCTCCTTTTTCTGCGATTGCGGCCATGAGCTCGCACTCGCCAACCGACTCGTCAATGCCGGAGATGCGGATGTCAGCGGTCTTCTTTGGCCGCGTCACCCGTATGCAATTCTCGCCGATGACCGACCTAAGCTTCTCAGCTAGGGCGTCGGCCTTGGGACCACTGCTTGCTCCAGGGAGCTCTAAGACAGCGGCCCCCGTTGCCGCCTTGCGGAACTTGATGGCATCAATGTCCGCCACCTCCTTCAGGTTGATCTTCGCCCTCGCGATCATCAGAACCTTGCTGTAGGTCATCTTCTCCTTGCCCTCATCGGTGAGGGTGATCACAACGGCCGACGACCGAGGCATCCTAAGCTTCGGCTTCGGCTTCGACTTAGCCTGGGGACTCTTCTTCGGCTTTGGAGCCGGCCCCGTTCTTGGCTGCGTCCTATCCTCCTTCTTCTTTGTCTTCTTTGCCACCGTGACCCAGTTCTCCTCCAGAGTATCCGGGTTGAGTGGCCGAGAAGGTCCGTCCGTCTTCTTCTCCTTTCCTCGCCTTGTGACCTTTTCAGGTCTAGAATCGACGGCAGTCACCACGGGAGCTACGGGGGTGACAACCGCCGGTAGGACAGGTGGGTTTCTTACCGCCCTCTCCTTTCCTTTCTTCGCCTTGTCCGCTGCCAAGGGAGGCCTCAGAAGCGGCGCAGGATTAAGCCGAGGCTCCAGCCCTTCTATGCGGGCATTAATCCTATCTCCAAGTTTGAGCAAGAGGCTCGCCTCCAACTCTTGCATGTTTGGGAGCCCCGAAGACTTCTGCAGCTCATCCACCTTCTTCGTGAGCTCCTCTAACCTCTCTCTCAGTTGCTGGTTCTCGGCGCTCAGGACCCTCGTCTCCTCACTAATGGTTCTCTGGATGAGAACCTGCGAGTTGTCCCTAATCGCCGAGACCGCTTTCTTCAGTGCATAGACGAAGGTTCCTTTCAAATTGCCGGATCTCTTCGCCACGCCTTCAATCACCTGCAAGCTGGCCTCAATGCCCCTGCGAGCATCCAAAGCCGAGCGACCAGCCGGATCACCAGTGTCCACGATGTCCGCCTCGTCCCATTGCATCGAAGACACTGACGATGCACGCGTAGATCTCAGCTCCGATGCGGATGCCGCAAGATCGACCTCAGCCTGGAGCCTTATCTCCTCTCTTCTGGCCTTCACTAAGGCCTGCTTCGCCGCAGCCAGTCCGACGTACTCGCCGGTTGTCGGTGGGCGACCTCTCCCTCTCGGCTTCGACGATTCTGGCGCCTCACTTCCACTCCCACTGGAAGCACCAGACCGACTTCGCTTCCGCGCCGACCGCGGTCCGCGGTAGCGCTTAACTCCTCTGGTGTCACAACTCGACACCGTCTCCATGGACCCTTCAAACTCCTCCTCTATGGCCGCATAAGATCGAGCGGCGGCCGCGACAGAGGGACTTGGTGAAGCGCATAAACGCTCCAACACCACTCTTGCATCCATCACCTTCCTTCCTCTACTACTATGGGGGTTGCCGGCCTCCAGAATACGTTCCGGCTCAACCGCGGCACCTTCACCATTGCTGGATCCAGTACGGCGGGTGGGATTTGACCCACCTGGAGTAGTTTTATACTTCGTAGGTACCTCCATATTTGATTTTTGTTTGGTGCCTTAGGGGCTGGACTCCCACCAGCCATTCATCCCCTCGCCAGGCACCACAGACTTAGGATTGGGGGTGCCTATGTCAGCGCACCTCGCGGACAACGAGCCCGCCATCCTCCGTGCCGAAGCACCACTTTCGGTTCGCAACCGCCTAACAGCGGCAGAGAACCGATCTCCGCCTTAAACTATATAAAATATTTACAGAGAAATAAAAATATATACAGGGGTGAGAAGCACCCACTCCAAAAAACACAATATACAAAAATAAATGTGCAAAAACTTACCATTCCTGCAAGCTCCTTCCTCCCTGCTCGACCGGTCCCGAAGCAATGTCCAGGGGTCGAGTCCCGCCGCAGGCCCAGGCTCCCGTCCCATAACAGGCACAGGCTCCCGTTCCGCAGCAGGCCATCCTCTTCATCGGCTGTGCCGACTTGTGGGCGTAAAAGCCGACTTCTCGGTGCGGCGACGGGGGGTAACAACCCCTAACCGGAGGCTACAAGCCATTCCCGGCCCGCCGCCGCTGTGTGCATGGCGCAGACGGGAGACGTGAAACGGTCCGACCCTGACGGCGTAGACGTATCATTTGCCGTCGAGGGCCCGCCGCGCCATATCTTCGCACACCCGACCCAGGGCGAAAAGCGCCCCGGGCCCGCGCCATAGGACGCCCTTCCTCGCGCTTCACTGCGCATCGCGGTCTGAAGGACCGCGATAAACAAAACTTCGTCTTCCCCACCCACCACGAAAAACGCGGTTGGCAAGGAACGCCGAAGATGTAGCAAGCCATACAGAGCAATATACAATATTGCAGAGTATCGCCCGCCTCCCAGTTAGCGACCACCGAGTCTGCAGGATACGCACCGGTCATCACAAAGTTAACAAACTTTGCCATAGCCGATACCACCCTAACTCAGATGGCCGGGCCCCCCCGGCAACGACAAGCCCTGGGGCTGCACGAGATACTCAAAGTGCAGTGGGGGGGAACCTAACCTTTTTTTTTTTTTTTTTTTTTTTTTTTTTTTTACTTGGAGGAATCGAGTCTTTACCGACGCCCCCGCCGGGCCAAGTGCAATGGCGGGGGGAGTGTGGGGGTCAACCGCGAGTCGGCCACTACCCACTAAACCATCCAAGAGCCCATTCGTCACTGCACTGTTCGGACAAGGGGCTGGTATCAGCTAGGCCTTAAAACCCAGCCCCGTTCCGAGGGCAGCCGTCACGCAGCTTTCGCGCGTCTCGCCTTCTTGGCTCTCTCCTGCCTATGTTTCCATAGGGGCCCCTGTTGGAGGGGCCTTGGCCCCTTTCTTGGGGTCCATTCTCCGTGCCCTTTTGGGTGGATCTCTGCACTTCGCACCGCCCAACTTGTGCTTCGCATCCTTTCCGGCTGCCGCGCATATAGCGCAATGTGGCTCAGCCGTGCACGACGCGGCGACATGATCCGGCTGGCTACATCGGTAGCACAGCCGACTTCGGTCACACTCTGTGACGCAGCGGCTCGCAACATGGCCGCTCTCCAGGCATTTGTAGCAGCGGAGGCCGCGGGGTTTTCCCACCATCACTCGCGCCACCACCCATCCGACGAGGAACCTTCCTGTGGCCAGCTTCTTGGCCGCCTCGATAGGGACCCGAGCCCAGTATGAGAACAGGCCCGATCGTTCTTCCCTCTTCTTACTGACCCGAACTTCATTCGGGTGGCACTCTCCTTTCTCCGCGATTGCAGCCATGAGCTCGCATTCGCCAACCGACTCGTCAATGCCGGAGATGCGGATGTCAGCGGTCTTCTTTGGCCGCGTCACCCGTATACTTCCCTCGCCGATGACCGACTTTAACTTCTCAGCTAAGGCGTCGGCCTTGGGACCACTGTTTGCTCCGGGGAGCTCTAAGACAGCGGCCCCCGTTGCCGCCTTGCGGAACTTGATGGCATCAATGTCCGCCACTTCCTTGAGGTTGATCTTCGCCCTCGCGATCATCAGTACCTTACTGTAAGTCGTTTTCTCCTTACCCTCATCGGTGAGGGTGATCACAACGGCCGACGACCGGGGCATTCTAAGCTTCGGCTTCGGCTTCGACTTGGCCTGGGGACTCTTCTTTGGCTTTGGAGCCGGCCCCGTTCTTGGCTGCGTCTTATCCTCCTTCTTCTTTTTCTTCTTCGCCACAGTGACCCAGTTCTCCTCCAGAGTATCCGGGTTCTGCGGCCGAGAAGGTCCGTCCGTGTTCTTCTTCTCCTTTCTTCTTCTTGTGTCCTTTTCAGGTCCAGTAGCGGCAGCAGTCACCACAGGAGCTACGGGGGTGACAACCGCCGGAAGAACAGGTGGGTTTCTTACCACCTTCTTTCCTCTCTTCGCCGTGTCCGCTGCCAAGGGAGGCCTCAGTAGCGGCGCAGGATTAAGCCGAGGCTCCAGCCCTTCTATGCGGGCATTAATCCTATCACCTAATTTCAGCAAGAGGCTCGCCTCCAACTCTTGCATGTTTGGGAGCCCCGAAGACTTCTGCAACTCATCCACCTTCTTCGTGAGCTCCTCTAACCTCTCTCTCAGTTGCTGGTTCTCGGCGCTCAGGACCCTCGTCTCCTCACTAATGGTTCTCTGGATGAGAACCTGCGAGTTGTCCCTAATCGCCGAGACCGCTTTCTTCAGTGCATAGACGAAGGTTCCTTTCAAATTGCCGGATCTCTTCGCCACGCCTTCAATCACCTGCAAGCTGGCCTCAATGCCCCTGCGAGCATCCAAAGCCGAGCGACCAGCCGGATCACCAGTGTCCACGATGTCCGCCTCATCCCATTGCATCGAAGACACTGACGATGCACGCGTAGACCTCAGCTCCGATGCGGAAGCCGCAAGATCGGCCTCAGCCTGGAGCCTTATCTCCTCTCTTCTAGCCTTCACTAAGGCCTGCTTCGCCGCAGCCAGTCCGACGTACTCGCCGGTTGTCGGTGGGCGACCTCTCCCTCTCGGCTTCGACGATTCTGGCGCCTCACTTCCACTCCCACTGGAAGCACCAGACCGACTTCGCTTCCGCGCCGACCGCGGTCCGCGGTAGCGCTTAACTCCTCTGGTGTCACAACTCGACACCGTCTCCATGGACCCTTCGGACGAGTCCGAGAGCCCTTCAAACTCCTCCTCTATGGCCGCATAGGATCGAGCAGCGGCCGCTACGGATAGACTTGGTGAAGCGCATAAACGCTCCAGCACTACCCTCGCATCCGTCATCTTCCTTCCTCTACTACTATGGGGGTTGCCGGCCTCCAGAATACGTTCCGGCTCAACCGCGGCACCTTCACCATTGCTGGATCCAGTACGGCGGGTGGGATTTGACCCACCTGGAGTAGTTTTGTTTGACGTAGGTACCTCCATATTTGATTTTTTTGTTTGGTGCCTTAGGGGCTGGACTCCCACCAGCCATTCATCCCCTCGCCAGGCACCACAGACTTGGGATTGGGGGTGCACTGCCTATGTCAGCGCACCTCGCGGACAACTAGTCCGCCATCCTCCGTGCCGAAGCACCGCTCTCGGTTCTAGACCGCCTAACGCGGCAGAGAACCGATCTCCGCCGTAAAAACTATATAAAATATTTACATAAAAGAAATAATAATATATACATGGGTGAGAAGCACCCTCTCCTAAAACACTATATACAAAAATAACATGTGCAAAAACTTACCCAGTTCTTCCGCCCTGCTCGACCAGTCCCGAAACAATGTCCAGGGGTCGAGTCCCGCCGCAGGCCCAGGCTCCCGTCCCGTTACAGGCTCCCGTCCCGTTACAGGCTCAGGCTCCCGTTCCGCAGCAGGCCATCCTCTTCATCGGCTGAGCCGACTTGTGGGCGTAAAAGCCGACTTCTCGGTGCGACGACGGGGGGTAACAACCCCTAACCGGAGGCTATAAGCCATTCCCGGCCCGCCGCCGCTGTGTGCATGGCGCCGACGGGAGACGTGAAACGGTCCGACCCTGACGGCGTAGACGTATCATTTGCCGTCGAGGGCCCGCCGCGCCATATCCTCGCACACCCGACCCAGGGCGAAAAGCGCCCCGGGCCCGCGCCATAGGACGCCCTTCCTCGCGCTTCACTGCGCATCACGGTCTGAAGGACCGCGATAAACAAAACTTCGTCTTCCCCACCCACCACGAAAAACGCGGTTGGCAAGGAACGCCGAAGATGTAGCAAGCCATACAGAGCAATATACAATATTGCAGAGTATCGCCCGCCTCCCAGTTAGCGACCACCGAGTCTGCAGGATACGCACCGGTCATCACAAAGTTAACAAACTTTGCCATAGCCGATACCACCCTAACTCAGATGGCCGGGCCCCTCCGGCAACGACAAGCCCTGGGGCTGCACGAGATACTCAAAGCGCAGTGGAGGGGAACCTAACCTAACCTAACCTTTTTTTTTTTTTTTTTTTTTTTTTTTTTTTTTTTTTACTTGGAGGAATCGCAATCTTTACCGACGCCCCCGCCGGGCAGTGCAATGGCGGGGGGAGTGTGGGGGTCAACCGCGAGTCGGCCACTACCCACTAAACCATCCAAGAGCCCATCAACGCACTGTTTGGCAAGGGGTTGGCGATCAGTTGAAACCTTGTCCAGACCCCCTTTTGCCAAGTGCTTTGCCGCAGCGCATAGCGCGCAGCTCACCTTCTTGACCTACTTACTACGAATATATTTACAAAATGTACAAACAAAAGAAAGAAAATTGTACATTTAAATCTAACTAATTTATTATATTTACAAGTACTTACGGCGCATTCGCATAGTTGCGTCTGCGCCTCCCTGTTCTCTTCCTTCTCTGGAGTGGAGCTCCCGGCTCTATTTCCCGGGCACGCTCAGTTTCCTCCTTGGCCTTGAACACCTCCTCGCAGAACGCCTGGACAGCGTTCCACTTGGATTCGTCGAAGACCATGCTCTGAACCAAGTCCTGCAAACTAAGAGAGTTACTTGTCGTACTGTTTAGTCCGGTTATTGTCAACATGGTTCCCCGCTGGGAGTCCCATGCCGAACAGTCAAAAATCGTGTGCTGCGGGGTATCATTATGACACCCGCAGTGATGGCAAATGGGGGTGGGTTCTCTTCGGGCAACTTTGTGAAGGTAGCTGCCGAAGCAACCGTGCCCGGTGAGACCCTGGGTCAGATGATAAGACAGTGTCCCCCATTGCCTGTCAATCCATTGTTGGAACACTGGCAGTATAGCCTGCAGCGTCCATTTTCCGAATTTGGCATTGGCTAGATCTTCTTGCCACAATCTCGTTATGGCCTCGCGGCTTTGTTTACGCCATGCCTCCATCTGTTCGTAAGTCGGTTCCACTCCCGACCTTCGGCATCTGTCCCGTTTCCAGTAAAAGTCCGCCAACACTTTAGCTTCGACGTACCATGGCGGCGTTGCTGCTAATAGGCACACCGCGTCGAAAGATGTGGTTCGATAGGCCCGTGCTACTCTGATGCCTATGGACCGCTGCGATCGCCTAAGTATTGCCTTATTGGCGTTATCCAGGTCACCAGCCCATATTGGCGCACCATATAGGGCTTGGGATCTGACAACTCCCGCGAAGAGCTTGCGGTGACTCGATTTCGGCCCGCCGACGTTGGGCATGAGTCTGCTTAAAGCCGCCGCTGTAGCCGTAAGTTTAGGTGCTAACGCCATGAAGTGGGATCTGAAGTTCCACCGGGAGTCTAGTACGAGGCCCAAATATTTGAGAGTCGTCCCGACTCCGATGGAAACTCCGCCGACGACTATTTGAGAGCCAGATGATGGGGCTCTTCTTGGACCATGAAACAAGATGGCTTCGGATTTCTCCAAAGCCACCTCGAGGCCCAATCTCCTAATTTTTGCCACGACCTGGGCAACTCCAGCCGTGGCCTTCACCATTACGTCTCTGACGTCTCGACCTTTTGTTACGACTAGGGTGTCGTCAGCGTAGCAAATTACACTGACCCCCGGCAGCAACACACCTCTCAGAACGACGTCATACCCGAGATTCCAAAGAAGCGGGCCAAGCACCGACCCCTGAGGAACCCCCCGCTGCACTTGGTGTTCGCCCCATCCATCCCTAGAAGGGAACATAATGCTTCTCTCTTGTAAGTATGAAGCAATCGTTTTTACTATGTAAGCAGGAACCCGGTGATGTTGGAGGCCCTGCATTATCGCGTCCCAAGGAAGGGAGTTGAAGGCATTTTTAATGTCCAAGGACACTGCCAACACCACCCCTCCTTGAGTCGTGGCTTCGTCCGAAATATCACGGAGGCGGGCGACTGCGTCGACGGTGGATCGTTTCTGCCGGAAACCAAATTGATTGTCCGACAGATCCGGCCCGACTGATGTTAAGTGTCGGACTATTTTGTTCGCGACGACGCGTTCGAAAAGTTTACCCGCCTCGTTGAGTAAAACAATTGGCCTGTAAGCAGACGGAGACTCCGCCGGCTTTCCTGACTTCCGCAACAGGACCAATTTTCCCTTCTTCCAGTCTTCCGGGAAGCAGGCGCTCCGCAGACAGGATGACAGCAACCTACGGAATCTATCTTCCAATCCGAACTCCAAAACTAGAGCGCAGACTTTTCCGTGCACTCCGTCCGGTCCCGGGGCAGTTCTCTTGCCCCGCATCTTCTCCACGGCAACCTCCAGTTCGGCCTCGGTTACATCCGGAACTTCCGAATCTTCGGACACTTCTCTCACCACATGTGATCCCAGTCCAGAGGCGTGGGGTGGAAATAGAGCCGACACAACAGATGTTAGAAGTGACGGCTCCATCGCAGCTGTAAGGGGAGGAGCCCAGGGACGCAACCTGTTCATGACTAGCTTATAGGGGCGCCCCCAGGGATCCAACTCGAGAGACTCAAGCAATTCCTCCCACGCTCTCTGCTTCGCCTCGGCTATGTTTTGACGCATGATGTTCTTCGCCTCGACGTATACCGCGTATATACGTTCCTCTTCCATTGGGTCACCGTATCCTCTGTGTCGTCGCCGATAACGCGAGTAATGACGACGCGCAGCTGAACACGCAGCCCGAAGACGCGCAAGTTCCGGAGACCACCAATAGACCTGGTCTTTGTTTGGCGGAGCCCTGACTCTTGGCATGGCAACGTTTGAGATGTGTGCCATTTCTCGACTAAACCATTCTGTTTCCTCTTCAACCGTTCTAGTTTCGGAGACTGGGCACCAGCTGCTAACGATTGTGGCCAGTTCCAGCTTCTCCTTGTCCAACGCCTTGATAGCCCATTTCGGGCCAACGGCTGCAGGATCCGATGACGGACTGGGCCTGGTCGATGCCGCCAGAGGGGCGACACTAAACCGTATGTATCGGTGATCTGACAAGGTCTCCACCTCTGTCAGCACCTCCCAGTCCCGAATGCGACGTGCCACGGAGGGGCTCGCAAACGACAAGTCGACAATTGAACCCCCCTGCATTCTGATGCAAGTCTCCTCCGATCCGCGATTTAGGAGAGCAAGGTCGTGCTCAGCGGCCCACTCCACTAAAAGGTCACCTCTGATGTTAGAGGCTGGAGACCCCCACGCCGTAGATTTGGCGTTGAAGTCCCCGACCACAACGATGTTTTGTGGTCTGCTACCTCTAACAAGAGAGCTGACCTCCTCCAAGAATGCTTCGAAGTCGACCAACGGGCGATTCGGAGAAAAGTAACACCCTATCACAACCATGTTTCCGATTTTAAGGGAGACACAGTTGGCCTTTTTAATGACAGTTCCGATTGGGGGTGTGTCGAGGTTGTTGCGCACGACTATTGCGACCGAATTATTGCCGTTCCCGACCCAATCGTCCCTTGCTGGAACCAAGTATGGCTCCGCGATCACTCCGATATCTATTGACCATTGCGCCAGAGTCTGCACGAAGAGGTTTTGAGCTCCGGCACAATGGTTAAGATTAGCTTGTAGGAATCGCAGAGACATACTAGGTTTCCGTGGTTTCCACAATCTCCATGTTTTGAGTCCCGCTCGGTGGGACAGTGTCCTTTACTGGGACCTTTCTTGCGACTCTCCTGGTGGGGGCCGAGCATTTGGCACCTCCCACCCTATGGTTAGCGTCTCGATTTGCCGCTGCACATACCGCACAGTGCGGTTTGGCTGAGCAAACAGACGCGACATGTCCTGGCTGGCCACATCTGAAGCAAAGGCCGCTGCGATCGCTTTCGCAGTTGCAACGACCAGCTACGTGACCGCTTTCGAGGCACCGGAAACATCGAAGTGCTCTCGGCTTCCCCAGGGACACCTTGGCCGAAACCCAGCCCACCAAGAATCGCCCTTCCATTATTTTCTTGGCAGCCGTGTTTGGAACGTGTGCCCAGACGGAGCACAACCCCGATCGATCCGGTCTTATGGGCCCTACCCTCAATTGAGAAGCAAGGCATTCTCCTTTTTTGACGATCGCGTCCCTCACCTCGTCCGACGTAACCGACTCATCCAGTCCACTGATTCTGATGTCAACAGCTCTAACTGGCCGCGACACCCGAACCGACTCTCCATCAAATAACTCCCTAAGCTTCTCCGCGAGCTTGTCTGCTTTTGGGTCGCTGGTAGCACCTGGGAGTTGCAGAATTGTTGCACCCGTCACAGCCTTTCTAAACCTGATAGCCTCAAAACCAGTGACTTCTTTCAAGTTCAACTTCTCCTTTGCCTCCTTTAACACTCCACTGTAAGTAAGCCCTTTCCTCGTGGCTTCTTCGGTTAGGGTGACAACAACAGCCGAGGTCCGAGGGGTTTTGAGTTTCGGCTTCGATGTCTTGGGGCCAGATGTGCTTGAAGCCTTGGTCTTACTGGCTTTCTTTGGTTGTGTCTGTCCTTCTTTCTCTCGGAGCGGACGTCCCTTCTTTACCACCGTGACCCAGTTCTCTTCAAGAGTATCTGGGTTCGGCGGACGAGATGGGGCCCGACTTTGAGTGTTGGCAACGGGGACGGACGAGTGCGCGGGAGCCGATTCAACCGCATGTTCAACCCTTTCCGGTGCCTTTCCTTTCTTCTTCTTTGACTTAGTCTTTTTCTTCATTTCTGTTTCAAGACCGGGCGCAGTAACCGATGCCGAAACAGCCATAGCAGAAGGTAAGTCTCTACTTATTCTTTCTCCTTCTCTCTTCTTATCAGTCGATAAGGGGGGCCTGATCCGTGGCGCTGGATTAAGCCGGGGTTCAAGCCCTTCGATACGAGCATTGATTTTGTCCCCGAGCTTACGCATGAGACCTGCCTCGAACTCCTCTAAGCTGCCTGGCAGCTGTGGGGCCTTCTGTATCCCCTCCACCTTTTTGCTGAGCTCCCCTAACTCCTTGCGAAGACGCTCATTCTCAGCTCTCAAAGCTTTGGTCTCATCGGATATGGTGCGTGTGATCAGCACCCCGGTACTCTCGCGCACTGTAGCAACGGCCTCTTTCAGGGCGCGAACAAACGTGCCCTTGAGGCTTGAGGAACGTTTCGCCACGTCTTCTATGATGCCCAGGCTGGCATCTATCGCTTTCTGTACCTCAAGTGCAGACCGTGGACCGGAGTCTTGCGTCTCCATTATATCACCGCTGTCCCATTCTAAGGAGGCAGGTGTTGTGCTCCTTGTCATTCTTGCCTCTGCAATCGATGCCATAAGCTCGGCCTCCGCCCTAGCTTGCATCTCTTCTCTTTGGGCTTTAGCCAGTTCTTTTTTGGCTGCAGCCAAGCCGATATAGTCGCCCGTTGTTGGTGGGCGACCTCTCCCTTTTCTCAGAACTGAGGTCGGAGTGTCCGTAGAGCTTCCTTCCTCGTCCATCTTCTTCTTTCGTTTACGGCTTCGTTCGCGCCAAAAACGACTAGGCCCCGAAACGGGCGAGGACGCCTTCGAGCGAGCCTGACTACTCGATGCAGCTGACGATACGCTGCACATAGAGTCCGAGTCCGAATCAGACAGCCTCGAAACCATCGACTGGACCCGTGAGCCGCGAACTTCTCCTTCTGTCACGGGCAGTGGCGTTACAGTCCTCTGCAACACCACCCGCAACTCTTTCTCACCTCCTTCCTTATCTTTCCTACACCTACTTTCATCTTTAACTCCCTTTCCAACTTCATCATGGGGGTTGCCGGCCTCCAGAATACGTTCCGGCTCAACCGCGGCACCTTCACCATTGCTGGATCCAGTGCGGCGGGTGGGATTTGACCCACCTGGAGTAGTTTTATTTAACGTAATTGCCTCCATGTTTTTGTTATGTTTTTTGTTTGGTGCCTTAGGGACTGGACTCCCACCAGCCATTCATCCTATCGCCAGGCACCACAGACTTAGGATTGGGGACACACAAAGTGCGCCTCGCGGACTACGAGTCCGCCATCCTCCGTGCCGAAGCACCACTGGAGAAGCGATCTCCAACGTCAAATATATACAAGCCCATAGGGGGCAATCGACAAAAACACATTATTTACACAAACATAATACAATAAACAATCAAAAAGCAGTAAAAAGTAAAATGAAAGAAAATAAAATATGTACAGGGGTAATAAGTACCCTCTCCAAAAAACACTATTTACAAAATATATACAATGTTCAAAAACTTACCCTAACCGGAAGTCTTCTCACCCTGCTCGAACCGGTCCCGAAGCCGAACTCCAGGAGGTCGAATCACACTGCAGGCCCAGGCTCCCGTCCCGTTGTAGGTTCAGGTTCCCGTCCCACACACCATCTTCTCTCTTCGTCAGCTATTTGCCGACAATATATGTGGGCTTATAGCCGACTTCTCGGTGCGACGACGGGGGGTAACGACCCCTAACCGGAGGCAACAAGCCATTCCCGGCCCGCCGCCGCTGTGTGCATGGCGCCGACGGGAGACGTGAAACGGTCCGACCCTGACAGCGTAGACGTATCATTTGCCGTCGAGGGCCCGCCGCGCCATATCCTCGCACACCCGACCCAGGGCGAAAAGCGCCCCGGGCCCGCGCCATAGGACGCCCTTCCTCGCGCTTCACTGCGCATCGCGGTCTGAAGGACCGCGATAAACAAAACTTCGTCTTCCCCACCCACCACGAAAACGTGGTTGGCAAGGAACGCCGAAGATGTAGCAAGCCATACAGAGCAATATACTATATTGCAGAGTATCGCCCGCCTCCCAGTTAGCGACCACCGAGTCTGCAGGATACGCACCGGTCATCACAAAGTTAACAAACTTTGCCATAGCCGATACCACCCTAACTCAGATGGCCGGGCCCTTCCGGCACGACAAGCCCTGGGGCTGCACGAGATACTCAAAGTGCAGTGGAAGGGAACCTAACCTAACCTAACCTAACCTAACCTAACCTAACCTAACCTAACCTAACCTTTTTTTTTTTTTTTTTTTTTTACTTGGAGGAATCGAATCTTTACCGACGCCCCCGCCGGGCCAAGTGCAATGGCGGGGGGAGTGTGGGGGTCGACCCGAATGGCCACTACCCACTAAACCATCCAAGAGCCCTTCTGCCACTGCTCTGTTCGGTCAAGGGGCTGGTATCAGCTAAGCCTTTGCCCAGCCCCGAGCCGAGGGCAGATGTCGCACAGCTTGCGCGCGCGTATCGCCGTCTTGGCCTTCTTCTGCCTATGTTTCCATAGGAGCCCCTGTTGGAGGGGCCTTGGCCCCATTCGTGGGGTCCTTTTTGCGCGCCCTTTTGGGAGGCGCTTTACACTTAGCGCCACCCAACTTATGCTTCGCGTCCTTGCCGGCTGCAGCGCATATGGCGCAATGTGGCTCGGCCGTGCAGGACGCGGCGACATGGTCGGGCTGGCTACATCGGTAGCACAGCCGACTACGGTCACATTCTGTGACACAGCGGCCCGCGATGTGTCCGCTCTCTAAGCACTTGTAGCAGCGGAGTGCCCGGGGTTTTGCCACAGTCACTTTTGCCACCACCCATCCGACGAGGAGCTTGCCTTCTGCAAGCTTCTTTGCGACTTCGATAGAAGCCCGTACCCAGACTGAATACAGACCCCACCTGCCGACCCTCTTTTGGCCAATCTTTACTTCATTAAATTGGCATCCTCCTTTCTTGGCTATTGCATCTTGCAATTCCAACTCGCCGACCGACTCGTCGATTCCCGAGATCCTCACATCTACGGTTTTCACGGGCCGCGTCACCTTCATCTTCTCGCCGAACAAAGTCCCCAGCTTCTCAGCCAGAGCGTCGGCTTTGGAGCCGCTGTTCGCCCCAGGGAGCTCCAGCACTGTGGCCCCCGTTGCCGCCTTGCGGACTCTGAGGGTCTCCAGACCCGTTATCTCCGAAAGATCTATCTTGGATCTTGCGATGAGGAGGGCTTTGCTGTAAGTCAACATCGCCTTTTCCTTTCCTTCGTCTGTGAGTGTAAGGACTATCGCCGACGACCGGGGAGTCCTAAGCTTAGGCTTTGGTTTAGCCTTGGGACTCTTCTTGGCGTTGGGAGCCTTCCCCGGCTGCGCTTGTGGCTTGTCCTTCTTCTTAGCCTTCTTTTTCACTACCGTGGCCCAGGTTTCCTCCAGAGAGTCTGGGTTTGGCGGCCTTGGATCCTCTTTGTCCTTTGTCTTCTTACTTTTCTTTTCCTTTCCAGGTTTAGGTGCCACAACAGTCGCCACCGGAGTAGCAGGTGCCACCGTCTCCTTTTCTTTTCTCCTTCTGTCTGCCGCCAACGGGGGCCGAAGCAACGGCGCTGGGTTGAGCCGGGGCTCTAATCCCTCGATGCGGGCATTCATCCTGTCCCCTAACTTTCGCAGGAGACTTGCCTCCAACTCCTCCATGCTTGGGGATCCAGAAGACTTCTGAAGGTTCTCCACCTTCCGGGTAAGCTCTTCTAGCTTCTCTCTTAGGCGCTGGTTCTCGGCGCTCAGGACCCTCGTCTCCTCGCAGACAGTTCTCTGAATGAGAACCATCGTGTTGTCCCTAATCGCCGAGACCGCATCCTTCAGGGCGCGGACGAAGGTGCCCTTCAGGTTTCCGGACCCCTTTGCCACGCTCTCAATTACTCCGAGGCTGGCTTCAATGCCTCTCTTGGCGTCCAAAGCAGAACGGGGCATCGAGCCACTGAGGCCCGCAATGTCTCCCTCGTCCCACTGCATCGACGACACGGATGATGCGCGCGTCGATCTCATCTCCGATGTTGAGGCTAAGAGCTCCGCTTCCGCCTGAAGCTTCATCTCCTCCCTTTTAGCCTTCACCAAGGCCTGTTTCGCCGCTGCCAATCCGACGTATTCGCCGGTTGTCGGTGGGCGACCTCTTCCTCTGGGCTTCGACGGTTCTGGCGCCTCACTTCCACTCCCACTGGAAGCACCAGACCGACTTCGCTTCCGCGCCGACCGCGGTCCGCGGTAGCGCTTCTTTCCTCCTGTGTCACAACTTGACACCGTCTCCATGGACTCCACGGACGAGTCCGAGAGCCCACCAAACTCTTCTTCTAAGGCCGCGTAGGATTGTGCGGCGGCCGCTACAGATGGACTTGGAGAATCGCATAAGCGCTCCAACATCACTCTCGCATTAGTAAATCTCCACTCTCTACCATGGGGGTTGCCGGCCTCCAGAATACGATCCGGCTTAACCGCCGCCCCTTCACCATTGCTGGATCCAGAGCGACGGGTGGGATTTGACCCACCTGGAGTAGTTTTACTTGTCGTAGTTGCCTCCATGTTTTGTTTTTTTAGTTGGTGCCTTAGAGGCTGGACTCCCACCAGCCATTCATCCCCTCGCCAGGCACCACAGACTTAGGATTGGGGGTGCGCTGCCTATGTCAGCGCACCTCGCGGACAACGAGCCCGCCATCCTCCGTGCCGAAGCACCACTTTCGGTTCGCAACCGCTAACAGCGGCAGAGAACCGATCTCCGCCTTAAAACTATATAAAAATATTTACAAGGAAATAAAAATATATACACGGGTGAGAAGCACCCTCTTCTACAATAATATTAACAAAAATAAAATAATCTGTGCAATGACTTACCCAGCTCTTCCTCCCTGCTCGACAGGTCCCGGAGCAAAGTCCAGGGGTCGAGTCCCGCTGCCAGTCCAGGCTCCCGTCCCGTTGAAGGTTCAGGCTCCCGTCCCGCAGCAGGTCATCCTCTTCATCGGCTGTGCCGACTTGTGGGCTTATAGCCGACTTCTCGGTGCGACGACGGGGGGTAACAACCCCGAACCGGAGGCTATGAGCCATTCCCGGCCCGCCGCCGCTGTGTGCATGGCGCAGACGGGAGACGTGAAACGGTCCGACCCTGACAGCGTAGACGTATCATTTGCCGTCGAGGGCCCGCCGCGCCATGTACTCGCACACACGACCCAGGGCGAAAAGCGCCCCGGGCCCGCGCCATAGGACGCCCTTCCTCGCGCTTCACTGCGCATCGCGGTCTGAAGGACCGCGATAAACAAAACTTCGTCTTCCCCACCCACCACGAAAAAACGCGGTTGGCAAGGAACGCCGAAGATGTAGCAAGCCATACAGAGCAATATACAATATTGCAGAGTATCGCCCGCCTCCCAGTTAGCGACCACCGAGTCTGCAGGATACGCACCGGTCATCACAAAGTTAACAAACTTTGCCATAGCCGATACCACCCTAACTCAGATGGCCGGGCCCCCCCGGCAACGACAAGCCCTGGGGCTGCACGAGATACTCAAAGTGCAGTGGGGGGGAACCTAACCTAACCTAACCTAACCTAACCTAACCTAACCTAACCTAACCTAACCTAACCTAACCTAACCTAACCTAACCTAACCTAACCTAACCTAACCTAACCTAACCTAACCTAACCTAACCTAACCTAACCTAACCTAACCTTCGAAATTAATAATAAAACTGTAAACTTACTTTGGGTTAAAGCACATATAGGTCTAAAAGGAAACGAAAGAGCAGACGTATTAGCAAAAGAGGCGGCACTAAAGTTAAAAATCAAACCAACCTATGAAAAATGTCCTATTTCCGCACTTAAAAGAATAATTCGGGAGGAGAGTGTGGAGGAGTGGTGTGACAGATACAGCACATCACAGAATGGATCTGTCACAAAACTCTATTTTCCGAGCCCAAAAATAGCGTTCCACTATAATAAAATTAACAACCACCATCAGACGAATACACAAATTCTCACGGGACACGGAGCTTTTAGCAGCTACCTGCACAAATATAAATGTAAGAATGATCCGACATGTGAGTGTGATAAGGTCACTCCCGAAACAGCTATTCATTGTCTTACGGAGTGCCCCATCTACCACGTAGAAAGATGGAACCTGGAACAAAATACCAAAATAGACACCAAATCGGAAAACCTCGAAGACCTAGTTTTACTTAGACCAGACGAGTTTTTCCGATTTGCACAAAAAATAGTTAAAAAACTAATTGCTAAAAATAAAAACTAAATATGTTAGCCATAGCATTTAAGATTATGTAAGTTAAAACTGTAAGGGAAAAATTGTAACTAGAAAAAGAAAACCTGTTTTAGTATTTAAGCATAACTTTAAGCAAATAATTAGTGTATAAGAAAACTGTATTTTAAAAAATTAAAATTAGAATATAAGTAAATAAATAGCGTTTTAGAAAACTGTTTTAAAAAATTAAGATTAAGATAATATGAAAAATAAACAAGACTAGAAATAAGAAAATTGTTAAATAGAATAAGATAAATAAAGATAAAAACCCTGATGTCAGTAAAACCCCAAACAAAGGCTCTTTCGCCAATGAAAGAGGTACATGTAGCTTAGCTTCCTCGGCCCCGGGGCACACGTCGCCGGGGAGGTAGGCCAACTAGAAAAAAAAAAAAAAAAAAAAAAAACCTAACCTAACCTAACCAGTCGCAGTCCATCCGCGGTCAGATAAACACCGAAAAGTGTCGCTCCGCGATTAAAAAATCCGAAAAATAGGATTTTTTAAAGGTACATACGAGTGCTATATATCAAAAGGCGCCTCAACGAGACGAATCAAATGGTGTTCAAACCTTAACTCGTGAAAAAATAGTGAATTTTTGTGCAAAAAACTGGAAAAAGTTAAAAAAAAAATAAAAAATAAAAGTGTTTAAGTGATACAGAATTTTCAAAAATTTTCGACAAAAACGTGGTGCCCGAAATCCTGGTAGAGGAAACACGTGCTATACACCAAAAGAACGAGCGCGTTAAGCCCAACTCATCAGTGCCGTATATACGTAGTATACGTATACACGTCCGAAAGAGCTAAATAAGCCTAATCTAACGGTACCATTTAACTCGGGATATTACGGAGAAGGACGGGAAGGAAGATAAGGCGGGGGGAAAAGTCAGGAGTATCGTATAAAGGGCGAGGTACGGAGGCGGCTGCAATGCAACAGAGCGCCCTCAAAAACTTGGATGCCGCGCGTAACCTTAAGACGGAAATCAAGATAACGGTCACGCAATGCATCAAAAGGCTCTTCACTCTATACAAGGAAACGGAGAAGGAACTGGGTATAGAAAAATTAAAAGGAAATAACGATACAAGGATTCAAGAAGATGAAAGCGAAAAGGAAAAGGAAATAACCAAAGAAACAAAACTAGATAAATATGAAGACCTAGTGGAAGAGCAGAAGGAAATAGTAAAGGATCTAAGGAAGGAATTAAAAAGGCTTGCAGAAACCAGGAAAAGTATTGAAGAAGAAAGAAAGAAATTAGAAGAAAAAACAAAGAAAGAAATACTTAACACAAACAAACTGACTGACTTACGGGAAAAGGAAAATGAAACATTCAAGGGGAAGATAATGAAAATGGGTATAATATTAGGAGAGCTTAAAAGCCTAAAAACACTAAAACACACACCTCACACACACACAATTAAATAAATTGCTAAAGCCTTTAGTATAAAGGAATAACAATTAAGCAACCTCACACAGAAACACACACATTGTAACAACTTACTAAACAATATTATTGAATATTGACAGAAAAGTTAAAACAATGCAAACACTAACACAAACCAAGCATAACACACAACACTTACATTTCACCATACATACAAGACACTAACATAAAACACAAAGCTACCTTGCCCAGAAATATTTTGTAATATCTGCTGAGCAAACCTACACACTCACAAAAAAATTTAAACATAATAGAAAGATTAAAATTAAATACTAGACAAAAAATTTACAAATAACAGAAGTATTATACGTAAACATATATATATGGAAAATGTAAATAAATATAACGTTGGAATAAAAACATTGTAACCTAGGACTTAAGAAATGTAAAAAGAAAATAAAACACACAGAGTAAAACTTATTTAAAAAGATGAATGACTGAAAGAATGAAAGAAATGAGGAATATAACCAGCTTAGTCCACGGCCCGACATTATTTAATGGTCGGGGAGGTAGGCCAGTAGTCAGGATTAAAAAAAAAAAAAAAAAAACCTAACCTAACCTAACCTAACCTGGAGGGGGAAGGGGGAAGAAATGAGGAAATCTATTGGAGCTAAAAGACTCGCCGTGCCGAGACGGATCTCCTGAGCCCAATCTCGACGACTTAGGACCAGGATCACCGGAGTTAGACCCAGAGGGGGTGAGGTAAAAAAAAATATTTGAGGGGGGTGGGGGGGGAACTTTCGTAGGGAGGCGAATGGCGCTCAGAAAAAATGTGTTGTTTTTAGAGGGGAAGGGGGTATCCCGAGCAATAGGGAAATTAAATTATTGTGGCTGAAATTATTATAGAAGTACTTATAATTTACTAAAATTTTAAAAATGTTGGAAAAAAATTTGAAAGAGAGGGGGGGGGGGGGGGCAAAAATATTCCTCTCTTAAAGACGAACGAAGGGGTTTCTTTTTGCGGGGCGGGGGAGGTTATTTTTTTAATGTACTAACCTACAGCTCGTCCAATGACGACCACGACGAGCCCAAGCACTATTAATCTAAGTTAATTATAAAGGAAGTTATACTATATTAAAGTTTTAAGAAATATAATTTTGTATGTTTGTTCACTAAAAAATTTTACTCAAGTAAGCTGTTAAATAAATATTTTAAAAATATCGCTCTTGGCACATTTTTGTTTGAATTAGAACCGTTTTAAACTAAGAACCGTTGGAAACTTTTAGCAACGTTATTTAAAAATACTTAGAGTTGATGGATTTTGATGTTTTTGGGCTCAGTCGAGAGCTAAAGAACCAAAGTTTTTAATAGTTAAAATTATATAATTACTGAGTCTATTATATATTATCTGTTATAAGCGCTGAAAAGTAATGTTAATTTTAGAAAATTTTAAGAAATTTAAAGGCTAATAACTTTTTTATTAGCCTTTAAGAAGAAGAGATTAGAAATTTAAAAACCATATTCTATATGAGGAGAAAAATATCTATCGAATGGCGTATTATTTGGCATTTAACTATCGATGTGATATTTTTATTTGCGTATCCCAAACCGTTAACAAAAGATGCTAGGCTTATATCTTAAAAACTATTACACGTAATTTAATGAAAATTTGAACTAATATAGACTAAGACGTTCTCTTGACACTACAATATTTTGCTTAGGCGTGCGCTAGAAGGTTGACCCCTGATAAGGACTCGAACGCTCCGTCTGCTTCAGCTCGACCGCAAATAGATGAAGACGCTGGTTTCATATGATATTGTTATCGCAGGATAACAAGAGATATGTTGTTAGAAAGCCTATTTGAAGGGCTTTTTAGTGCACTATTAATATTAAGATCGTATTTGTAAACTAAATCACTATGACCAAAAATGTGAAAAAGGTTGGTAACTCAAAAACTATATGGCCAAAAACTTTATGTTTTTAGTTGTATCTTAATAAGCACTTTTGAATTCGCAAATGAAAAATATTGGTCGTCGCTTTAAATTTCGAGCCGCATTCACTTTTAGTTTTTCACAGCACAATATTCACTATATCTTCTGACTCGAAAGTCGTAGAAAAGAACTAAAATAAACTTAAGGTTGTTAGGTACTTAAACTTAAAGTTCTTTTCTACGATTTTTAATCTTTCGAAATTATAGCGCCTGATAAAAATATATAGCAAAAGTGCATGTAATTTGTTGCTTTTTAGTAGTATAAAAAATATTTATTTAAACCTTAAGTTTATTTTAGTTCTAGAGAATAAAGCTACATAAATAAGATTAGCTTTTTTAGAAAGTTCGGTTTGATATACCACTTTTTACAGCTAAACACAATTTTTAAACGATTTTTGTTCTTTAGAAATTATAGCGCCTGATAAAAATATAAAGCAAAAGTGCATGTTATCGAATTTTCTTTGTGAATTTGTAGCTTTTTAGTTAAAATGAATGCAAAACCTTTAGTTTATTTTATTTCTAGAGAATGAAGCTTTGAACATTAAATAAGCTGTTTTAAAAAGTTTACTTTGATATGACACTTTTATAATTATAATAATAATAACTCCTAAAACAGGAGCCACTGAGCATAATGTTACGAACACACTTGTCTTGCAACAAAAACAAACTAAATTAAAATTATAAAAAAAACTACATTAAAAATTTACGTACAAGTAGGTACTAGGTACAGGTAGGTAGGTAGGCGCCTCGCCTTGGACAAGATGACGTCATAGAGTAGGGCAGCAATATGCAAACGTCTCCTGTTTTCCATGTTGAGTATGTTCGCCTTGACAATATATGGAGTTATATGGCTTCGGGGGGTATACCCCAGCGAAATCGGATGCAAGCATTTTATACCCTGTGTATGGCCTGCTTTGACCGCGCGAAGAGTCTAAGCCCATATACAGCATCCTCATAATAAAATTTGGTTTTCAAAGCGAAGATTTTCGTCAAAAAGTATACGCAGACTTCAATACTCATGGCCACGTTCACATTGGCTTGGCTATTTATGGAAATGGATAATGATAGGCGAGATATTTTGGATCTTGTGATCCCAACGCCATAAATTTTTGTTTTTGTGGGATTTAGAATAAGAGAATTCGACGAATCCGAATTAACGTAAAAAATAGCTTTTGAAGTAGAAAGAGTAATAGAGCTGTATATCATCAGGATACATATAGAAACGACAGTGTATTATGTGTGACTCAATATCTGCTGAATAGAGAATAAATAAAAAAGGTTCCAAAATACAGAGAGAAATCGTAGTCGTACCATCTTCTCGTATTACAGCGACAGTACTAAACCAATTGGCTGCATCTGGTGAAAAACCATAAAATTAAATTAAATTAGGGGGTTTAATAGGTGCGTGAGCCTTAATGTGTATCCATAGGTTTTTTGGTTGGTTAATGGAGTTATTTACATATTTATCGAAGTCAAGTTTATTTTCGATAAATAGCGCCACATTCACCTGTTTTTTGCGGTCTTTATAATGATTAATATGTGATTCTCATTTACTCTTCCTGGCCCTAATGTATGCTTCATCGCGGGTCTTCATCATACATTTTAAATTATATGTCACCCATGGATAGTGACGTTGTCTAGCAAAAACCCATTTACGAGGTGCATAAAAATCGAATAATGTGCTGAGATAAGACGTAAAAAGATAATAGATCTTACTGTCCACGTCTGCTAAATGCCGAATTGTCTCCCGAGAAGTAGCTAAAAGCGTATTATTACAACTCTCCATATTAATATCCTTTAAAGCGCGGAACGAGATCCAACTAGGTTTAAATTTTTGCTTAATTATATTAAAAGTACAAAATACAAACGCATGACTGCTTAAATCTCTTATGTGATCGACTGCCACTTCCGACACCGGAGCATTTTTATTATTTTTTTATTTTATTAAGCAATAGCTGTACATCGAACCAAGGCGGTCTACAAGGAGTTTGCCCCGAATGGTAGTTCTTACCCACATCTGTTCAACTAGATTTACAGCAGGATGTGACAATAAACGAACAGACATCATTTTATTAATGTAAAAACCTACGCCTCCACCGCGAGTGCGAACCGACGGTGGGCGCGGAATATGTCGAAGCCTGTAACCCGTCACCTGAGGAGCGCGTCCCGTCTCTCCCTCCCGAAGCCACGTCTCCTTTACGGCTAGTATGTCCACCTTCCTAGTGACCCTGGATTCAAGAGTCCAACCTTTCTCTACTATTTACCATATTGTCTTACAAAGTAATTCACAAACAGGTCTTTTACATAAGCAATTCTTTTTTTATACACGAGACGTTCAAATAATTCTAATATTTGAGCCAATGAAATCGCGACGTGCTCAGTATTTTCGCCGTTCGCCTCGAAAACTCCCGCGATCTCCACATCATTCATGAGGCATTGCTGTTCAGACTGATTCAGGCGTCTCTTCAATAGTTCTACTTCACCGTTTACTTCACAGCTATGCTGATTATTAGCCCCCAGCTGAAGCACGCTCTCTTCCAGTTTAAATATTCTAGATTCCACATTATCTAGCCTACTTGTGACGGAGGCAATTGCCAAAAGTCGATTATAATCGTGCGAAGGGATAAGATTTGATCGTTTAACTCCTCGAACGATGAAGCGACGACGTCACTTGATAATGCTAAAGAACCAATATCACCGGCCGTAGTCGCATCGTTATGAGGTATGCTGCTAGCAGCAACATAATCTCGATTACTCTTCGAGCGAGCTATCAGACACGACTTGTAGCATTTTTTCGAACTTGGACTTACTGCTTTTGGGCAATTTTTATGCAAGTGAAAATTACAGTCTTTGCATCGAACGCCATCTGGAGCAATCGCAAAGAACTTCGCACACACTACATAAATTTATTTAATTGATCAGGCATGTCGTTGGAATAATTTATTTCGTTTTATACACTTTTTGTTAGATTTTAACTTTGCTTAAGAATGTTGCCCAAACACTTGCATTATCTTTAGTGATTTTTTGCGGATTTAACTCGAACGCCAAGATAATTTAAGTCCAAACTGTTTCTCTTGCTATAAACCTTTTTCCTTTTCGATACCAACAATACGGGTAGTTATGCATCGAACGCCATCTGGAGCAATCGCAAAGAACTTCGCACACATAATTCCTTTGTCTTGATGGATTGGGCATTTCACTAGAATTCGTATTCAAATGTGAATCACCAGATGGCGCTGTTATACACTTTTTTTCCAAATGAGCATGAAGCATATGTACTTTTAATGACATCCTGCAGTCCATGGCCTTAAAATTTGTAAGCATATCCTGAATCAACTTTTCGTAGTTTTCAGCTTTATTATTTCCTAAAAATCCAGAAGCTACTGCTTATTCTGGGCTTGTAAATGACACCTGATGGTTGTTTATCTAGCGGCACAGTGTAAACGTCTCTTGTGTCTCAGTTACCCCACTCTCACCGCGCGGTCTTTTTAAAAATATTAAAATCAATTAAAATTTATGAAAAAATTGAAAAATGAGTATTATTATTATAACTATCACAAAAGCAAACTTTATACCGAAAAAATATTTATTATCAAAATTAATAATTGTCATCGTCGTAGTCGTCGTCGAATTGGTCTAGATCATCTGATCTCTGGGGCACTTGAGAATTGCCTGTCTGTTTGTGATTTATTCTGTCAGAGATCGGTAAGACATGAAGATCACAAGGACAAAAGTTCCCAGCAGCTATTTTTTCATGTGTAAATATTAACCAAGGCTCCGCCAGCCTTTTCACTTCCGACCTAAAAACCACTCTCGAAGGCTCAGAAGTAGGTATCCACCAATCGTCTGAGTCCCAATCTTCAGAAGAACTGGAATCAGATCTCTCTCGATGGCCACACTCTAAATCTGAAAGCAGTTTAATTATTGTTGTTTAGTTGCGGCTCAAAGACACCTACACTTTTTCTTCTTGTAACCTTGAGGTGAGTGTGAGTGATATAGGTGAGTTGATTTAATTTTCTTCAAAGGATAAGGCCTCTTTGCTATAAATGATTAGAATATTACCTCGGTCTTCTAGTTCTTCATTAAACAAGGATTCTTCATCACTGGTGAATTCATAGTCATCTTGAATAACCTCTGCTTTTCTGTAAACAGTAGGTAGGTAATAAAAAATTGAACCTGCTTCTAACTTAAGATTCTAGTAGTGATTAGTATTAGATTTAATTAGAATTATAGTTTTAATTGCGTGCCTATTTAACTACTACTATTTGCAATATGTTTCTGTGTAATTCATGTTCAGTATTATTTATAAGTATGTAAAAAACATATATGTTGTATGGAAACCAAAAGAGTAGTCCTTAGCTAATTGACACAGCTTACCTGCCACAGCATCTTTCTACTGTTGTTAACCTTAATTTGTTTCTCTTGGTTAGATATGTTACAGAGTCTGGCTCATCATGATGATTTTGGGCCAAATCAATTTCATCAAACTGTTCTATACCTGGGATGTCTGACAAAAAGTTATCATAGAGGTCAATTTTCTTTAAATTGTGTAATTTTACTAAATTGTCTGGAAGCATACACAAGTCATTGCTATCTAAAGAGAGCACCTTCAAATTCTCCATATTTACAATTTGGTCTGGAAGATAGAGAATCTTATTGCATGACAATAGACACACCTGCAGATTTCTTAAGAGGCAAAACTCTGGTGGCAAGCCACTCAGCTTATTGTTCGATAAATCTATTTCTACTAAGTTTTGAAAAAACTTAATTTCAGAACTTATGACGCTCACAAATGTGTTTTGTAAGTACAGTTTCTCTACTTCGATGCATCTGTCTAAACCTTCGAATGGCACACAGTGAAGGCTATTGGCACTCGGTAGCGATAGGTTTGTATGACCCAACTGAATCAATACTGCATTTGGAAATGTCCCTATGAGCTTCTTGTGTTTGTTAAGGCAGCAATTATCAAAATATATTTCACCTATTCGAGTCTCATGATGCAAAAGTTGTAGAAAATATTCACTCTCCAAATTATTACACATACCTACATTCATTCTCATATTCACCTTGATCAAGCGCTCGGGAGACTCCTTCCAAACCCACCGGGGGGGGAATTTGAGGTTATTATTAGAAATGTCCAAGGTTTCTATGACGTTATAGAAACGCGGTGGGTCGTCGAATACTTCAATGTTATTAAAAGACAAGTCGAGGATTCGTATGTTGCACATATCCATAACACTTTGAGGAACATAACGCAGGTTGTTGTGTGACAAGTTTAATTCACATAACTGTGTCGACAGTTTAATACAGTCCTGAACGCCACTGAAATTTCTGTAGCTCAAATTATAATACGCCAACTTTTCCCCCGAGATACTGAAGCGATCAGCTGATACTACATTCCTTTTTTTTTTGTTAACATCTTCCATTTCTAGAACTCGCTATTTTTGTAGTTAGTTAGTTTAGATTGTATCAGATAATATATAGGTAAAAATAAGAATAGTAAAAAATGGAATTGTATGAATTATGAAACTTCAAAACCTACCTACTTAAACAAACAAAAACAACAGTCAACAAAATACAAATCGTTAATCGACATTTTTTTTTTTAATATTTAATGGTCCGGTAACGAGACCTTTAAGCCAAAATCAACATGGAACAGAAAACAATTAGGGTTAGCTTGGTAAACTATCGAAGATTCCTTTTTAAAACGCCCCTATAGAAAATTGCATTAAACGAAACAACCCAATCCACATTTGTGGCAGAAGCTCGGAAACGGATCTCTTGAGGTATTAACGATTAAAAGTACCTGCTATTGATCGATTGTATTTTATCAAACATCTCTAATTCTGTCGTTGTGCATGTTGGCAATGTTGTTTTTGTTATGTTGGTATTGAAGGAGACCGTCCGTACTCCGTTTTATGAAACAGTAGTAAGAATTTGCATTATTGTTTACTGTGGTTTTAACTTTTAAGGTCTAATAAGTTTGAATATTAACTTATTATCTACACTAATATTATAAAGAGGAAAACTTTGTTTGTTTGGTTGTAATGAATAGGCTCAAAAACTACTGGACCGTTTTTAAAAATTCTTTCACCATTCGAAAGCTACATTCTCCACGAGTAACATAGGCAAAATTTTATTTTGGAAAAAAATAGGGTTCCTTAAAATATTTGGGTTTTTCGGACACAAAGTGTAAAAAATCAACCAGAAAAGTTACTTATTTTGCGTACGCTGCCTAAACTATAAAAGATAGAAGCATAAAATGTTCTAATTAATTGGAGATCTTATAAATATCTACAAAAAAATCCGCGACACACTATACCTATCTATGTCGAGTGAGGCACAACAACCATTTTTTTATTTAAAAATCTTAATTTTTTTTTTGGACTACATTTAAACGCATTTGTTTTACTCATGCTATTAATCCTTATCAAAATAAATTATTTCATCACTAAGTACAGTTTATGTAGATAATATTTGGTATTTAAAAGATTAAAATTGGACGTTTGGTTTTGAAGTTATGGCGAAATTAAAATATTACTATTTCTGCGTTGCGAAGTGGGCGTCACTAAGGCGGGGGTGCGAGTGCGGGAGGGGAGTTTAGATCTATGAGTAAGGTACCAGTTATTTAAGTTAGAGATAGTTAAATAAAAGGATGAACAGTGACATGGGCTATTTACCACCCAACAAAGTGGGTGCGGGTCAGCTAGTATATATATAAGCCATATTCTCATATGGATTATATTTGATAAAATCGACCTATTCCAGTAGTTCAAAGTAGCTTTTGCTCCTTTGGAAGGTTTAAGAAACAAAATTCGACATAGTTATAATATTGAAAGAATGAAAGATGTGACATTAATAGATATATTAGAAAACGATGATGAAATATGAATGAGTAAAAAGGTTTCATATCACCACAGAGGTGTCTATCTGTCACCAGTGAAGGGTAATATACGATGAAGTCATGAAATTCATCTGTATGCCCGCTTTGGCTGACGCTCTACGTCTTCTCAAATTCGTGTTAGGCGCTTGCACACAAACTAAAAATAAAATTGGGTAAGCTTACAATAAGCACTTAAAAACGTTAAATGTAATTAAATAAGAAATAGAAAAACGGTACAAATACAAAGGAAAAAGAACAATTGGTAAATTGCTCTCACATTTCTTGAGAAGGGCGAAAATATTGTTTAATATGTGCAGCTGGGAATTGCTCGTAGTAATCGGGCGACGAGATCTAGATCGTTAAATAAGAGATCTACAACATTAAATAACAGGCAAGATAGTGAATCGCCCAGCCTAAGAGCAGTATACGCCTGGAACGGTTTTTAACGGTCTATCTGAATCCTAACCTCAATTTTGGACAATTGATGAAGATCGACTAAGTTACCTTTGAGGGGACATCGATTTCTTGCATCACTGTCTGAATGGGCTGTTCTTTGTAGATAACCGAAATTATTTTTAAATTATTATTAAGAATTATTTTATATACATTTTATTGTTTTAGGACATATTTGTAAGATGTGGGTTTGTGCCTGAACAAAGAATTATTATTATTATTAAAACCAGCAGCTTCTCTCTTGTATTCTTCATTAGCAGTCACATACTATTACTGAAAATTGTGCACAACCGGCGAGCGGCACCTAAAAGCGTCTGGCATAGTCGTAGGCGTGCGCCGACGTAGTTCGGCCGTCGATCGAAAAACTAAACTATCCCTCAATTTTATTCGAAACGTACTTTTTTTTAAAGGCTGCCAACGATTTCAGGAGCAGTCCTAGAAGACCAGGTCCGCCGCAGCATTCGAAGAGTGGCAATAAAACGAGTACGTAATGAATAAATAAGTTTAATGAACCTAGTCGTACGCGATTGGCGATCCATACGAAATATTTACAATAATATAGGAATACAAATTTGGAATAAATAAGCAGTCTCGAGTCGGTGGCGCCAAAACTTGCTCCGGCGCCGCTTCCGCTGCCTCCGAAGAGGCGCCGGCCGCGGCATTAAAGTATGAAAATCAGTCTAAAAAACCTCCTTAACCAAAAACACAGTTCGTTGTTTTTCTTACCGATGCGTTGACGAAGTAAAAGTAATATTTTCTAATTAAAATTAAGTACAAACTATAACTAGATGAGACCATTATGTACATTGCATACGATCGTAACGCACTTCTTACACGATAATAATATAGAAAAATATTAAAAATGCCTTATTTACAGGGGTCCGTACTTAGTTTGCGGAAAACCTCGCGACCGACGCGCGAGAGTACAAAATATTTACAATACGCGGTCGCGGCTACCTTCAAAACGTATCAAAATTTGAGCGCGCCTAAAGGATCTTCACAAAAGTCAGCTCGTTCAATACAATACAGAATTAGGCAAAAACCGCACGATTATCCTTAAGTCTAGTATGGCAGTGCACAGGGGGCGTCGCTAGCAGTGAAACTGCTGCTGCGTGATGGCCGAGAGGTCCTTCATGAGCCCCTCGAGGTTCTGCATGTCGCGGTGCAAACGCTCCGTAGAGCGCGACGGTGTCAGCGGCTCTAGCTCGGAGCTGCAGGCGGACACTCCTCCGCCGCCCAGCTGTAGTCGGTTGGGCAGGTGCCCGGGCGACGAGCTGGCGCTCTTCTTATACGGCGACGTCTCTCTGACGCTGCCCGCCTTCGAGTGCGACGGAGTGGAGTGCTCGGACGCGTTGTCCTGCACCGCCGTGAAGCTGTGGAGAGCGCTCGCGCAGCCCCCGCGACGGAGCGACCCTACGCTTGCGGCCGTCGCCGCTCCCGCCTCGCTGCCCAGTGAGTCGCGGCTGTAAGCGAAAGAGCGCAGGTGAGTCGGCGAGTGCGACGGGCGACGGGCGAAGACCGTTCGTCGTGAGCGAACGACTCACTGAGTGTAGTGGCCGAGTGGCTCGTAGGCGACGTAATGGCCCCGCTCGCGGGCGCTAAGCGCCGTCGCGTACACATCGGAGCCGGTGCCGGCGGAAACGGTGCTCGGCGCGGAGCAGGCCGCGCCCAGCGGACACCCGACGGAGCCGCACGGGGCCGGCGGAGGGTGCGGCGCCCCGTGCCCGTGGAGCGACGCAAGAGACGACTGCGCGGAACCGAGAGGCGCCACGCCCGTCAGCAACGGAGTGCTCTGTTGGAATTCGTTTCTCAAGTCAAAATGTGACTTCGTTTAGATTGCGAACGCTTCGCGGCGACGCGTACGTACCTGGTCGGGCATGTGTCTTCGGCGCTCGCACGTCGAAGTGCAGCCCGCGCTCATCCCGACGCCGACGCCCACGCCCACTCCCGTCATGGCTGCAACATTCTCATTAAAGCACATGTGGGACAAAACTGGATAAATCGTGGAAGCCAGTAAAAGATTACAGTCGCATCTAATCTAGTAAGCGATAGAGAAGGAAAATAAATCGAAAAGAAAAGTATCGATCCAAATACAAAGTCCATCGGAAGGCCGAAGTCAGATGCGGTGGGTCGCACTTTGTACGGGGAACGAAGTAAATAAAAAGCGACTAGACCTAAGTAAGTGTGAGGCGAATAGTCGTCGAAGGAGTAGCGATCGCAACGCGCGCAGAACGGCGCGGCCGGTGCCGGGGGCGTCGCGCGCAGGGGACACGTGTCCGAGCTGCCCGCGCACGACGGCGACCGCGACTCTAGCACACGCGCACAACACCAACGTCAATACAAGAGGCGAGACGAAAGTCACACATCGTGTGCGCCGTGAATGTACTGACCTACGTAAGTGGGCACGTAACGCCGATCTAGCGATGTGGGCGCGGGCGCGTGGCGCGCCGGCTCGTACTCGGCGGGCGGCGCGCGGCCCAGCGTCAGGGTAGAAGACACCAATCCGCCGCCCGGTCCCGCTCCGTCGACGCTGCCCGCCGATACTGCGACACGGGAGCGGTTAAGCGAGGCTCGGGACGAATGGGGCGGAGGAAAAAAAGAGCGGGTCGTACTCTTACTGGCGGAGCTGTGCAGGCTCTTGTCCATGTGCTTGAGCTCCATTTGGTCGTGATGGATCCAGAGGTCGGGGGGCTTAATACCGGCGGAGGCGGAGGCTTTCTGGTAAGTGCTTGTGTCAGGCGAGAGCGGAGCGTGCGGTCTTCTGCAGCATAACGACAGCGCGAGGGCGGCCGCCAGGGCCAGCACGGCGCACGCCCCGCCCGCGCTCGCCCACAACCAGGCGGACGTGGCGGAGGCAAGCCCGGCGCCCTCGCCGGTCTCCGCCCCCGTCGTGTACGCGACTACGGGCGAGAAGGGGCCGAGTCCTTTGCTGTTGCGCGCCTGTATCTTAAAGTTGTAAGTGGTTCGAGCGCGCAACCTCTCCACTCGCGAGCGGGCACGGTCCCCGGTGACCGCGACGGCCGTCCACTCTTCCGCCGCGCCGGAACCTCCGCGCTGAACGGCGTACATGATGACGTAGCCCGTGATCCTTCCATTCGGCTTGGCGGGCGGCGTCCAGGAAAGGTCGGCGGCGCGGGAGGGCGGCGCGGCAGGCGAAACGCGCAGGTCCCGAGGCGCTCCGCCCGGGGCCGCCTCCAGCGTCGTGTTGCTCGCCAGCATGGACCACGCAGACTCGCGACCGCCTGCGGACGAGAACCGTAAGTGGCGAGCGGTTTACTCGAAGGCGAGAAGAAATCCAATGTACCTTTGATGAGCTTGACGGCGAACTCGTATGTGGTGTAAGGGCGAAGGTCGTCGAGCATGCAGTTGAGGTCGGTGACGTTGTAGGTGCGAGGGCGCGAGCCGGCCGTCGCCCAGCGCACCACGTAGCGCCGCCCGTCCGTCGCCGCCTGGCCTTTGGGCAGCGTCGGGTCGGTCCAGTACACGACGGCCGTGGTACCGCTCAGCATTATCACCTAGTTTGCCATGGGATTGTGAACCGTTCTAACTGAAATATGTCTGAAGTGGTACTTCAGACATATTTCAGTAACCTTAATAGTGGTTTGTCCAACTTAAAGATGAATTAGTTGAACGAGTTTACGGCGCGCGAATGCGCCGATGCGAAATCGAGTCCTACCTTGAGGCCCACAGGTGGAATAAGAGGAGGCGTGTCGTCCGCATCGTCCGTCTCTTCTGCGTCTTCGGTTTCGTCCGGTTCGTCTGCGTCGGCATCGGCGTCCGGATCGGCGGTGCGCGTCCTAACCGTCGTGTAAATCGCCGGGCCCAGCCCGAGCGCGTTGCTCGCTCTCAGAGATATCACGTACTCCGCGTTCGACTCTAATGGATATACATATTAGGAAACAGTTATCGATAGCGTGAATGATGGGGTCATATTGTGACATTGTATACGAGACTAGCTGCGCAGAATATTATTTATTTTAAGCCTTAAAATTCGTTTTTATGCAAAACTCCCCTTCATTTTTATAGATTTAAGCTTTTAACCGCGACTTCAGTCGCGTCTTCTCGTTCTTGCTAGTTACTCTTAAAAGATTATAGATATTAGGACTTATATTGTCGCAGACATTTTTGAGATGATTGAAAGAGGAATTATTATTTATACATAATTTTTGGGTATCTTAAACCGCGTGCGCAGTGTACGCAAGGGAAACCCACAAGGATAAAAAAATTCCCCTGATTTTCCACATTCCCCGCTCTTTCTTCGTTCCTTTAGACATAGCGCGACAGCCTTCCTCGATCAATGCTCTAACCAACACAAAATGTCTTATTTATAATTTTTCCATTCGAACCAGTAATATTGGCAAAAAATACACATTAAATGTTAAAATACAGTATGAGTGTCAGAAAGTCGTACCGAGGCCCCGAATCACGTACGAAGTCCTGTGCGCAGGCAGCTCTCGAGAGTGCTCGTCCGGAACTCCGAGTCCCCACCCGAGCCACCAACCACGTCCGGCGCCGCTTCCGCCTACGTCGCCGGCGCCTCCCGCCCACCAGACAGAAATCCAATCGCGACCGGCGCGAGCTGCGAACATACGACACTCGATCAGTCGCGATGTCCTCTCGCCGAGCCCATCGGCGGCGATTTACGGCGGTTACCCGTGAGCGGCGGCGGTAGAGCTGGCACGGCGGTGTCGGCGCGCTCGGCGCCCTCGGTGGTGGCCGACACCCACTCGCTGAACGGTCCGGAGCCGTTGGCGTTGATAGCGCACATCCGGATCTGTATCGCCAAAGGAACAGATCAGTCGGATCAGCGAGGCGGTCGGGGCCGCTCGCGACCGCGTAGGATGAGAGGGTACCTGGTATGTCGCGCTGGGTTCGAGGTCGGCGAGATCCGCGTGTCTCGCGTCGGCGGGCGTGGTCAAGGAGTCAGCTCGGCGCTTGCCCGCCCCGCTCCCCGCTCCGCCGCCGACGAGCCGATAGCGGATCTTGTAGCCGGTGAGCGCTCCGCCATGCGTGCGCGCGGGGGGCGCCTCCCATCGGACGCGGATCGACTAAAATGAAATAAATAAACGTGAAACTTGCACGTAGGATGGTGGAGAGGTTAAATAAATAAATAAAAATAGGCGCTCACCGTGTGCGTAGCGGGAAGCGCCGTGATGTTGACCGGAGGCGCGGCCGGGGGTGCGGGGGGAGTTCGGGCGGTGCGCTCACGCGAGGCGGCCCCTCCGAGGGCGCTCACGCGCACCAGGTACTCGCTGGCCGCACGCAGCCCCTCTACGGCGCACGGCGACCGAACGCACCGAGCGCTCTGTTCGCGCCCGCTCTCCACCTAAACGCACGAAATTAGTTCTCATCCTAAAACTTCTCGGGGGCATTCGACTCCCTCGCTCACCTCCGTATAGTAAACGTTGTAGCTCGCGGGAGGAGCGGCCGCGTCGAGCGGGGGCGACCAGGTGACGCGCAACGACTGCGGACTCGTCGCCTCGACGCGAACCTCTTCCGGCGGCCCAAAAGTCATCTCCTCGGCCGGAGTCGTCACCTCGACCGTCTGAAAGAAAGTCGGCGAGTTCGTCAGCTGGAAACAAATCTTAATCTTTATTTTTTTGCCGTCGGAAGTACCACAGGGCTCACATCTTGGACCTTTATTTTTTGCAATTTTATAAATGATTTGTGTTCTTAATCCTCTAAGTTTCAAATGTATGCCGATGATCTCAAGATTTATAGAATAGTTCGTACCACAGAAGATGTTCTACAGTTGCAAAATAACTTAGATTTTTTACTCTTGTGCAATAAAATGTCATTGAATTTGTCTAAATGTTACCACATGAAAGTGACAAAGAAAAAGGTACCTGATAATACTGTTTATTATATTAATGGAGTGACAATCGAAGAGGTATCAATCATGCGTGATTTAGGAGTCGTAATAAACAAAAAAATTGACTTTAGGGAGCACATACACACCATTTGTAAAAAAGGATCAAAGTTGTCTGAGTTTGTTCTACGAAAAACAAAATTTTTAACGATCCAGAACCATAATTCTATTTAATTGCTTTGTCCGAAGGCTACTAGAATATTGCAGTCCAGTTTGTAGCCCATATTGTTCTGTTCATATTGATAGAATAGAACGACTACAAAATAAGTTTCTATATCATCTTTCATACGCTACGAACCTGTCTACTTTCTCTAAAACATCGTCGTAATCTAGCTGACGGTTTGTTTCTATCAAAATTATTTGTAAATAATAAAACAAAATAGATAACATCAACCTAATCAACTTAAACGCTTAAACCTTTCTGTTCCCCGAGCAAGCACTCGCATTCACAACGTATTCATTTTCGCTCTTCCGCACCGTCGAACCAATTTCAGTCAACACTCCCCTTTGCATCGTATGTGCAAACTGTTTAACGATCACTCTCGAGACCTGGATATTTTTTATCGCATTACTTCCGGCCTCCGACAATTACTAAGTCTTCTTTTAGAGCACTAATATAATATACAATTTTTAGTATCCGTTTTGTTGTTTGGTTACATTTATATTAGATTTAATTATTATTTACTTTGTACGATAAAACTTTATTTGCAGGTCATGTGTACGGACAAACGCCCGTACAAATTTACTGTATTTTTATAATAACAGGTTTTATCAATCCCATCAATATGGGTATCAAATGAAAGAGCTCAACAAGTACCAACAAACACAAAATGAATTAAAGAGAATACGAAATAAAAACTAAAAACTAGAAAATAAAAATAGGTAAAAAAACTTTTTAAGTTAAACGGTTTTATGTTAAACATACATTGCAATGTTTAAGATAAATGTACTAAAAACCAAAAAATAATAAAATAGATACAGTCGTGGGAATTATACATTAATTCGATAATTTATAGACAATTGACGTGCCCCACGGTTTTATTTAAGTCTAGTCTATGCATATGTTTATAATTCCCACGACGTATAAAGCCATTTATACCATATCTATATATTAAAGCTTGGTTTTGTAGACGTTTTAAATAAAAATAAATAAATAAACGGTTAATTATCGCCGAGAAACATTCGGTACCGGCGTGAGGGGTGAGACCGCCGACGGCGTGAGGGCGCGAGCGGAGAACGCGTAGGTCGTGTTGGGCTGGAGCGAGCCGAGGTTTGCCTCGCGTCGCGCCGCCGAGCCGCGCCACACCCGCTCCCTGCGCAGAGAGCGACGCGAGTCACAAATGGCGCGCGAAAAGCGAAGGTGCCAAAATTCACACAGACGACGACCCACCTCTGGCCACCGCGCACGCGGTAGAATACGGCGTAGCCCACGACGTCCTCCAGCTTGCGCTCGGGCTCCTGCCAGCTGAGCGTGACGAACCTGTGCTTGACGATGACCGCCTTGAAGTCCCCGGGCGCGGACACGACGGTGGCGTTGCCTTGCGCCTCGCTGTCCGATTCTTGGTCGGCGTGAAAGGAAAGATGGTTTATAATGTACTCGTCGTACTCTAAAGGGTCGGCCGTGAAGGCGGGCGACGTCTCGCCGAGGTCGGGCCGTTCCGCCCGCGTCGAAGCTGATGGAAACACAAACGAAACAAAACAAAATAATAAAATAGTGCCAAATGGCCGAACGGGAAAGTCCACAACGCCGCGAGGCAGACGACGATGAGGTTGGCGAATTGACACAAAACGCACAAAATAGACTCCGAAAGGTGAGTCTTCGCAAAATAAATCGTATATAGCAAAATAAAACCAAGGAAATAAACAAAGTTAAAATGCTCCTCGATAGACGGGTGCACTCCGTGAAGCATACCGTGGGGTGGCGGCAGCACTAGCAGACGCAAGGGCGCCGTAGCGGAGCCGGCCGGAGACGAAGCGAAGCACTGGAATACGCCCGCGTCCACGGGTAACACGCCCTGAATACGCAGCGAGGAGCCGTCGACGAGAGCGATGTCGTGGTTGTTGGGCGTGAGAGGCTCGCCGTCCTTTAGCCACGTCACGCGCGGGGGCGGCTTGCCCTTCGCCTCGCATTGCAGCAGAGAGTCCCCTCGTTGCCGCGCCTGCACCACGGCGCCGCCGGGCAGACTCACTCGCGGCACGCTCTGAGACAAAAGCGTCAAAGTTCGAGAGGATGGCGCGAGCCGAAAAGCTATCGCCGCATCCCGTCGGCACAATTACCATGACGTGCAGCTGAGTGGAGTGGTCGGCCGAGTCGAGACGATTGTGGGCGCGACACGTGTAGGTGCCCGCGTCGAGCGCGCGCGCAGACTGCACGCGCAGCGAACCGCCGCCCACCAGGTAGAATCGAGAGTCGAGGTCGCTGCGGATAAAAGCAACCTGTAATTCGACCGGCCTAATACAACGAAGTCCACTATACTAGTTGTACTATACTTTAGGTCGATGGCGACGCCATTGTTAAGCCACGTGATCTCCGGCTTCGGGTTCCCGATGGCGGCGCAGTCGAAGGTGACCGACGCCCCCTCCATCACGGTGAGCGGACGAGGCGTTGCGATGAAACGCGGCGCCGCCTCGAGGCTCGCGATCTCGCCGTTCACGCGGAGCTCCACTTCGGCGCCGGTCCTGCCGACACAGAGGCGCGCGTCAATAGGTCGCTTTATGGACGAAGGACCGCCCTTTCGGCGTCGCCCCGTTGCCCCGTCGCTCACCGGACTTGGGCCCGTCTGCGGCGCGCGGCGGGCAACGCGACTCTGCAGCGGTAGACCGCCGCGTCGTGCGCTCGCACCCGCTCCAGCTCGAGCGCGCCGCTGGGGCTGAGCGACACTCGCGCCGGCTCCATTCGAACCGGCACACCGTTCCGCAGCCACGTGACCTGCGAACCGGGAACGTCGTTAAAGGCTCCTTCGGACACCGCGGGGAGCACGCTTAGAACGAAACTGTTACGTTGAGTTTTAAGACGGGCGGCTGCGCGTAAAGCCGTGCGGCGCCGTACACGCGGCGTTCGGGCTGCGCCGGCGCGTCGGGCGGCGGGATGACGCGCAGCGCGAGGCGGGCGGGCGCCCTCAGGCCGCACGACAGCAAGGCACTGGCGCCGAGCACCGTCGACACCACGCTCGGACCATCCAGAAACTCCGGCACCTCTGCGAAAATCGTTCGGTTCGTTAGAAAGGAGTTTGCGAAACCGCGCGTGGACGGCGTCCGGATTCGGCACCGACCGGCTAGGAAGACGGTGACCACTCGCGAGACGACCGTGCCGACGCCCTCGAGGCTCGCGACGCATTGGTATTGACCCGCGAGCGCCGCCGACATGCTCTCGATCACCAGGGAACCATTCGACGACTGCTTTCTGAAACCGGAGAACACGCGTTAGAAAGGTACTGGCATATGTAAGTCGACAGACAACCCTCCTGCCGACCTGTAGGCGTCTGCGTGTGAGAGCGTGTGGTCTCTGGTCGGGGGCGAGTTGGCGCTGAACCGCCACGAGATAAGCGCCGGGGCGGGTGCGGAGCAACCGAGCACCCCCCCTTCGCCCTCCGCCAGCACGCAGTCGAGGGGTTCCGATGTCAATCGGAAAGCGGTATCGCCATCTTTCTCGTCCCCTGAAACACGTCAATAGAACAATTAAAAACAATTTTCAACAACAGATAACTTACAAACAGTAATATATTTGTAAATAACTTTCTTTTTAACTAAGTGACAACACACAACACATATGACTTAGTGCGAAGAAAAAAAGAAAAAAAAACAGTATTTATGTTATGTTTACTGTTTGATGTTGGTTATTTTTTGTTTTAAATATTTTGTTTACAATTGTACGTAGACATGTCTCATCAATAGTAATATTTCTATTGTAGACTTAGGAGTAAATTTAGTGTTAATTTAGTTTAAATTATCATTGTATTTCTTATTTCTACATGCAAAGGTTGCCTGGAAGAAATCGCCATAGGCGATAAGGCCACCTTTGCACAAACATGTTTTATTTTGTACATATTATAATTCTAAGTATTTATGTTCTTAAATCTATGTTTGTGCAATAAAGAGTTTTTATTGTTATTAGGAGTTCCCTAAAATGTCCTTCGTCTTTATTCTTCAGACCCCAACTATAGACACAAATCACAATTCATCAGGGTGTAAAATTATTAAGAATACAAATATTTTTTTTTATAATAGCCTGTAGCGTTGATTCTGAAAACTTTGTATTTGTCTTTTTATTTAATTTCGATTCGACAAGTCGATATCGGTCGACGTCTCGCCGGCTCTTAATGCTGCTACTAAGCTTGAAATACGCAATTCGAAGAACGCCTGAGACGAGAAGAACTGTAAGCCATGGCGGCTAGCCGAATCCATTAATTAGGATGGGGTCGGGCACTAGCGGTTCAGGGGGATCGGTACGAAATGATAGTCCATGAGTGGTCTACGAGGGCCATCGACCCAGTCGAAGAGTCGATTCGATCGCTTCCGAGTTCCGTTCATCGCGACCGAAATGGGTCGAGGGTCATCGGTGTGCGTCTCGGAGTGAATATGGTTTAATATAGCTGTGACTGTTAATACCTATTAGGTAGGTATTATTCTTAAAAGATGGGTTTATCACGATCATTGTTAATTTGGAACGGCTCACTCTAGGGTGTAACAACTTAAATATTCCATGCATAGCGAATCCGGCGCCGGCCGAGACACCGCGGACATTGAATTTAATATAACGCTATCGCATAGAATATTCGCTATTTATGCGGACTACAGCACTGTCGGTAGCATCGTGGAACGAATGCATCCTCCTATACCCATCGCGGTTCATTACCATCAACGGCTTACCGCACCGTGCAACATAAATACAGTTTCAAATAGGAATGTATAATAGTACACCACCTCCGGAAGGCGATGGGCGCGGGAGCTCGTAGAACGCGTTAGTGATTAGCACTAATGATGTCCTTTTACATCGAACGGCAGCTCGGCCGCGGGCCTCTTTTTGCTGCGGTGTGACGACCTCCTCGGGCCCATCCTTCGAGTCCGGAGCGATTTATACCCAATTCGAGACATGTGATATTTTGAGGTCGACCGAGACAGACACAAAACAATAGTAATATAAAACACGCCAAGTGGGAGTCGAACGGCAAAGTAGGGTATAATGTGATTTTTCGTATCGCCTGGAGCTGACCCATCGGTGCCTACTTGCGAGGGTCCGTCGAGGGCCGGTCTACTTTTTTAATTTCGGCCATTCGAAATCCTAATGCCGACGTCACAAGGTCAAAAATACCGCGAACCGACGTCCGCCTCGCCCCGGGTTCAACTGTGTCGTTACGAAGTTCAATGGTGAAATTGTGTTTTTTTTTAGGGCGCGTTGTAACAATTGCGAAGCTTTTGATATAATGCGAAAAGAGTAATGACGTTATACTACAAACACGGTTAAATAAAACACTTTAACGGTTTAAATCGCGATATATTAGTTAAACTTATTTGAAAATGATTTTTAACTTCGGCCCGGTTTTAAACCGTTAAAGTGTTTTATTTAAATGTGTACTACTCGCGTAAACTATAGACAGTATTTACAAACACGGTTCTGATCGCCACATTTCAAGTCATATTTACTAAATGAATATTGTAAGGAGAAAATATGCACAATCTTTCGCATGCTTCAAAATTTCGGTCGATTAAGGTCGATCGGGAGTGGGTACATATATTGCGTTTTCTTTTTCACTACTCGTCTGTTCTAAATTCACTGCTTTCGTGCTTAATTTTCTACGTCTATACGTATTTAATTGTTTCTAGATATATTGATAATGAATAATAAAGTTCTTGAAGCCCACGAAGTTAAGATGTAAAATGTGTCTTCGTGGAGCGCTAAAACGAAGTGCGAGGGTCGCACCTAACCTTCGTTAGACGCACGCGTGCCCCGCTTCAGCACGATGCCATTAGCTCCGCTGTACGTCGAGCGCGCGAGGGCCCCGACGCACAACAGAACGATCGATAAGCGACGAAAAGCGAGACCATTCATAAACAAATTGCGAGTTTAGTCATGACTAATGAGACCAAAACAAAGTGAAATAGGGTCAAAATGAATAACAGTTGAGTCTCGGAAAACACTCTGTGAGATGAGCCGCGACAACGGATCGCTCGCTTCCAGTGTCTTAAAGATTATAAAGGCGCGACACGATAGACGCGAACGACTTTATTTCAATCTCTTTAGCAAAGGCTCAATTGTGAGCCGAGCGACGATGAGTAGAAATAGAGGTGTTGCCTCATTCCTCAACATGTATGGTGTATCTCGTCTCTTTCTAAGCCCCGCACGGGAGGTGCGAACGGGCATCGCTGTCGTCGGTATCGACAGTTGTCGCTCACCGTCGAACGCACTCGTCCGATGCGTCAGAGTGTAAAGCATCACGACAATAGAAGTGCAGTGCAGGTGTTCAAAGCGGGACAGCTGTCTAAACATCTATCTAGAACACGATCGTGCCGATGTTATGCGAATTGATGAAAATCAAATTGCTTGCGACGTACCGATAAGCAGATTAAATGATAATATATGCGCTACACTAATAATTATATTTTGACTTGAATGCTTTTAAAGTCCGGTTCAATCGAAACGGACGCAGGAGACGCCCTAAAGGTGCCACTCAAACTTTCCATCGGAACGCGCTGCGGCGACGCCTCGGAAACGCGAGTCGAGCACATTTCGTTACCGGGTTACGGGTGTCGCTAGTTAGGAAAAAGCCTCCCGAACGTCAGCGGGTCGATGACCCCGCGAGCTGACTGCGCGGCGAATACGCTTTCCGTTTTTCGTTCAATTCTCGAAACGAGCTCAGTCATGATTATTCAAAGGAGTTCATCGGATCCGGGTCGTCTTTCGCTGCACCTCTACGGTGACGTATGCGATAAAAGCGACACAAAAATGCCACATCAAAATGGTATAATTCAACATCAACCGATCAAATGAATAACAATTATTTTGCTCGTCCGAGAAGACAATCGATCAGGTCGGCGCTTACACAATCCTAATTACTCCCGTTATCTTGACCGTTCACTGGTAAAATAAATAAACACGATCCACACGAACTTGCGGGAAGTGCACGAAGTTAATTAGTGTGCAGAAGTGTCGAGTCAGCGCGGCGGCCGACTCCCCTCCTCTCCTTACAATTACTTAATTAGCGCAACTGCCATTGCATATTCTGTATGTACACGTACTATTATTCTAATTACACGGAATGCTTCTTATATCATAGTAAAAACGATGCAGAATAGGAAAAATGAGCCAAAAAAAATCAGAAAGAGTAGAAAATGAGGAAATAGGTAATATCGATAAAAAAATCTCATTTCGTAAGAAAGTTGGGAAGTTGACTTGAAAAATTCTTTCTAGTTCATAAAATATTAAATAAAATAGGAATTGAGGCAATTGAGGTAAGCAATAATCAAGAATGGAGGCGAGCTGCTACGTTGCGTAGCGTCGCCGTTCGCTACGCGGAAATATTGCAGGTGCCTTTGTCGTGATAACCCATAGACCCACTTCTTTATGAAGTGCATAATATAGAAAAGGTAGAATTATGTGGCTCAATCTCTTAGGCACAGCGCGGAACGCTGTCAACCGTAGGTTGGAGTCCCGCCCTTTTTCTGTTCTTACAATATTTTTTTTTATATTGAAAAATATTTTAACAGCGAACGTTATCTGATACCTCAATAGAATCCCAAGGTATTCTAGAGATAATGTTAATGTGGACCTCGGCGAGATATCTCGTCTCGCGACCATTACAGTTGCGCTGGAAAAGATTTGCATATACGGGATGCATTTGCGCCGACACCCTCGCCGAGATGGAATCCATTTTAGATATACTATGCGATGTCTCTTTCGAGCGACGTCTGTGTCTAGCGATATAAATAGTCAGTCGATTAATGGGATTATCGAAGGCTCGCCCTTTGACAGTGGACAGATCGAGTGACAGAATTGTTTTTCTTCAAGTTCATCTAATACTAATCTCTATCGATTTACAACGAAAAATACGTATATCGATACGGTTAAAGGGTAATAGGGAATAACCAAAAAAAACCAAACTGTTTCAAGCTTTTTTTGTCATTTCATGTGTAACAAGTAACAATTGTTTTTATTTAAGTTCATTTGACTCGACGTTCGTTTACGTAGTTTTTTGTTACTTAATATTTTTTTGATTAAATGAATACACGACAATTGAACATGTAAAGTTTGTTATTATTATTAGGCCATAAGTCACACAACTCTCTTAGTGGGGTAAAGATGGATAATTGTTGATTTACTTTGTTGTACCAAAACCAAATACATCTTTAAAAAACAATGAAACAAATGTTACATCTATTATCATCCGTCGTAGTACATATACGGTACTTATGATTATGCTTTGGAATATAATATAGAAACAATAATTGTCAATCAAAATAAACAAAAGAGATTTAATTTCTCACCATGTATATGTATGAAAAGTAAAACATCGCATCCCACACAATTGTATTAAAGTAATAATGGCGATGCACCACGACTAGATCAGCAATTGAGCGCTTGGGCAAAGAATGGAAAGACAGCCGTATATCGAAAAAGACTAAAGTTCGTCGAATGCGCAGCCTAGTCTTCCGAATGTTC